CGTCCTGTTGAGCGTCCTGCTACGCGTCCTGTTGACCGTCCTGTTGACCGTCCTGTTGAGCGTCCTGCTACGCGTGTACCTACTCGAGCGTCCCTTCGAACGCACTGTCGAACGCACTGTCAAGTTGGGCGTGCAGTTAGGCGTGTAGTTAGGCGTAGACTTTTCCGATTATAGATCTACTAGTAGTAAACGTAGAAATACTAGTAGTTATAAGCTTAATTTATAGCCGTATCGAGGCTCCAAACCGTATTCGAGGCTCAACACCGTAATAACACGGTATTGAACCTCGAAATCGATTTCACTACGGTTCGAAACCGGTTCTAAACGCTAATTTTATTACCGATTTAAGTACGCCAACTCGAATCGAAACCGGTTTAGGACCGATTCGGATCCGTAGTGAGACCGGTTTCACTATAGTTCCAAACCGTATCGGATACTATATCGAAACTATATTAAAACCGTATTAATACGGTGTTAAACTACTCTACTATAGCCTATATAGTACGATTTGGAGCCTCGATACGGCTATAAATTCAGTTTATACCTATCTCTACATTTACTACTAGTAGTACTATAAAAGTCTACGCCTAAATAGTATACGCCTAACTATACGCCCGACTATAGGTTCGATAGTGCGTTTAATAGTGCGTCTAAAGTATTCCTAGTAGGTTTCGAATACTCTTATACTATTATAGTAGCTAATACGTAATCTGGATCCGATCCGGATCTAAAGAGAAAACAGATTAAGCAGGTCTGAACTAGGTCTAAACTACATATATACGCTCCTATAAAGGATTAATCCTATACAGTATCGATCCTATATCGAGGATACATCGACCCTACTCCGATCCTAACCCGATCCTACTCGAGAATCACTATAGGATTATTTATAGGCTAAATAACGTATCGTAGATCACGCTATAGAGATCGCTATAGAGATCGCTATAGGCTAACTCGCGTATCGAGGATTACTTCTTAACTTAATTAAAAATTAAATTCTTTTTAAATTAATATATTAAAAGTCGTAGCCGAGTGGTATCGAGTCTATCGACGTCGCTATCGTCTATAATTTAGAAAAGAAAAGATTCTGACGGTAGTCTTAAAATAAAAAGGAAAAAAAAGAGTACTTCTAGTAGGTTTCGAACACTCTTTTCTTTTTTACTATGATCCGGATCCGATCCGGATCTGAGAAAATCAATAGATTAAGCCTCCGATCTAAGATCCGATCCGGTTCAGACCTAGGTCTGATCCTAGATCGATCCTAGATTGAGCCCTTATAGAAGGCCAGATAGTAAATCGGATTCTAAGATTTAATTCTAGATCTAATCCTAGATCTAATGCTATTATACTATGTATACTAGTAGTCCTGCTAGTAGTAAACGCAGATATCTATTAGTAGGTACTATATATATAGTTTTAAATTGATTCGATTCGAAACTAATCCAAAGCTATATTAAACTCGATTTAAGCCTTTAAACTACGTTTAAGGCTTTATATTATATCAATATATATAGTAATATATACTACTATTAAGCTTTAAAATCGATTCTACTATAGTTCGAAACTAGTTTATAGTACGGCTCTAGATATTAATTTTATTATTGATTCAAGTATAGCGCTTTAGTGTGTAGTTGCTTTAAAACCAATTCCAAATTAACTCCAAGCCGGTTTCGAATTGATTCCGGACCGATTTCGAACTATAGTGGATATATACGTTCGTTCTACAAACGGTTTTGAAACTATGTTAGCACTATTTGAATATTGTACTGATTCTATAGAGAGTGGGACTTAAAATCTAGGTATACTTATACTAGTAGTTCAAAATCAATTTTGACCGGATTCGAGACTGCTTCTAAACCGTATTGAGGCTCCCGAGGCTCAACACCGTTTTTACATTATATCGAGCCCCACAATTAACTCTACCACAGTTCGAAACTGGTTCCGAGCCGATTTGGAATCGATCTGGAATTTATTTGAAACTATATTGGATACTGTATTAGATAGGATTCGAAACTATATAGCTATAGTTTCAAAGTATATTCTAAGTACTATGACTTTTATTGCTACCCCTTATCACGTCTCTGGCTATCTTTAGGAGCTAGAATCATTTCCTTCGCCGCCTGTCATCCTGCAATTGGATCATATTATAAACTCTACAAGCGACGGTAGTATCTTTCCGTCCCCCTTTTCGTAAGTGCCTTGTACCGAACTAGTATCCAGACCATTCCTTTAGTAAACCGAGTCTGCAAAGCTGAGAACAATCCGAAGTGAAGTAGGCCAGATAGAGCGGCAGGACTGTCGTGTGGTGTACATAGGGTGCTAAAGCTCTGGCGCTATGTCGTCTCCGAGTATCATCACTGCGGCTTTCTGTCCGTGCCATGCTCGTGCATTTCCACAACCCGTGCAATAAATTTCCCGGGTAAATTGAGATAGGCCAAGCAGGAACCAGGGACAATGTTCTTACTGGACTCGAGATATCTATTTCGAAACTCAGTCCACAGAGTGCTGTCCGGGGATTCTGTGCCGGTTGTCGGGCGGGGGAAGAAGGGATCGTTTCTCATGAATGCACGAGCAGCTTGGTCGATGCCGGCGTCGTCCATGGTCATCGGCCTGCAGCAGTCAAAGTCCAGAACCCACATTGAGTGAGTTCCCAAAAAGTCGTGTATGTACTCGCCGTGATCGCTCGCGAGTTCCGAATCCGATTTCGTTCGAACGCCCCCGAGCACAAACTCAACATCATTGGCGTCAATCCTGGCCATCCAGTGCATTATGGCGAGTGTGTCGGCCATGGCACGCGCATACTCCAGAATAGGAAGCCCGAGGTCCTCTGCCTGGTTAAGGTGCAAGGGATAGTTCCGCAGGGAGAAGAAGTTCCGTCCTCTCCGGGCTTCGTTCTGGATCTTTCGTCGGCCTAGATAAGGGCGTACCAAGCAGTCTCGGTCAGCGTCGTTGGCCTTGATCGTCGAGACGGAGGCGGGCGGACAGTATCGATCGATGAGGCGATGTCTGACCTCCTGCGGCAGTGGTGGTATGCGTTCGCTGCAGAGGACATTGCAGGTAGTGTAGTCGGCTGGGAAGCTGGAGAGATTGGTGTTCCACCAGCAGCGGTCGTCGTTTTTGACGAATTTCGGCCATCGTGGAACGCACACACTGAGCTTCTTCTCTGAGACAGCGTCGAGTACCAGTTCGTGCATTTTGTAATCGTTGAGAAGAGACCGTCCCGGACCGCCATCCTCTCTTTTCATCGCCATGGTGCCCTCTTCGGCTGCCCATACTGATCCACAGAAACCTTGGCCTATGCGGCGGAATCTGATAGTGGTAGAGTCTTGCTGACTGTCGGAAGTCATGGTGATAGTGTAGTTATCGTGTGATTGACAGCGGTGCTAGGAGGTTATTGTTGTGTGTTAGTGTTCTGGTCGTGAATACTAGAAATCGAAAGTCTCTGGTGGCTGAGATGGATGGGAATGCCACCTTAAATACCCAGGTACTAGTAGTCAGTCCGGACAACCTTTTCTCTGGGATTCAAGTTGATATTTTTTCTTTCTCGAAGCCCAAGGGCCTCGACATGACCTGCTAGTGGTTCAACCATGTCTGAGATCTTGGTTGGGAGGTTTGACTGGCTCCCACGATCTCCAAAAAGGGTAATCCACCCAAGTTTTTGCAGCATCACGGATAGAGCCAGCGATCTCAAAGTCGATCTCCCTACCAGTAAACTCAATAGCGTGGAGGGGAGCCTGGGGTCTGCTGCAGCCGCACAATCCACTGGCAACATCAACGCGGCCAGGCAGGATAGGATCGAGGCAGAGGGTGTAAGGTTTGGGTCCCTGGAATGTGCTTTCGAAGGAGGACTTCTATCAGTGGTGCCAGATCACCGAATAATTCCACCGGCAAATAAAGACATGGCAGGCACGGGTTCGTGGACGGATGCATATCGCGACCCATATGGACGACAAACTTTGTTCCAATCCTCCCACCCGTCGATCCGCCCTTTGAAATGAGAACGGAAAACGACCCACCTATGATCTCGAAGCTTGCAACAATGACTTATACCGGTTCAGCAGCAACAGGTCAACTCATGTTTTGATTTCGAGGGGAAGCAGCAACATATTCTCTGTTCAGCAGGGTGGTAGGCATATGGAAGACGCATGGGTTTTTCTCGTCGGTGCCTGCTCAGAATCAGAGGCCCCACTCCCTCTGTGTGGTCCATGGCGGGCAAGCGAGCGCAAAGTCCGCCAACTGCACAATGGGAAATGGCCAGGGCCAATATGTCCCTTATTCCACGGAACTACAAGCCAGGTAAAAATAAGGAGTGAGGACAACGTCGGTTGTAATGTGTGCGGCGAATTGACGATACCCACTGGCAGTGCGCGGAGCTTTTCTCGGGCGGAGCTTTTCCGGAGGATTCAGCACCGGCCGCCACTGTCACCGCAAATGCTGAATATGGCTTGTCGGCCTCCAATGTTAACTAGATAAATGACAAGACCAGCATTATTTGTTGTGGGAGAAGGCATGAGTTTCATTTCCGTTCATTCATACCAACCGTCATCCTCCAGGGTGCTGTCCTCGAGGTTACCACGATATAATATACCCATTTAACTTGCTAAGCCTCCTATTACACCGGCACGATGGCAGGGGTCGAATCCAAGGACATCACCAGCACACTAGAAAAGTCCGATCCTGAATGGTCAAAAGCGACGCCACCAATCCAACAAAGCCCTTGTGACGAGGCTGCCGAACGGCCAGTTCCCATAGCAGCTGGTGGCCAAGAGGCGATCCCAGATGGCGGCTGGGAGGGCTGGAGACAAGTTGCGGCGGCGCATGTCGTGGTCGCTTTCTCTTGGGGACTGATCAACTCGTTTGGGTTTTTCCAGACCTACTATACCCAGCTGCTGGGTGTCAGTTCGTCGTCGGTGGCATGGATCGGGTCCATCCAGATCTTCCTGATCTTCTTCGTTGGGGTGTTTTCCGGGTCGGCCTTTGACGCCGGCCACAGCCTGCACTTGATCGTGGGTTCGGGCTGCCTCCTCAACATCCTGGGGATATTCATGACCAGCATCTCCAAGACCTACTGGCAGTTCATGCTCTCACATGGCATCTGCTGCGGCTTGTCGAACGGCCTCATGTTTACTCCCTCCATGGCGGTCGTGCGGACGTATTTCCACAAGCGCAAAAGCCTGGCAATGGCCCTGGTACTCTGTGGGTCAGGAACGGGTGGCATGGTCATCCCCGCGGTGCTAGAGACGAATACCCAACGCATCGGATTTGGCTGGGCGGTGAGGATCGTGGGATTGTTGTCCGCAGTTCTTCTGCCAATCTCTTGTTTTGTCTTGAGACGCCGATCCCAAGTTGAGCTGGCGACCACATTTTTGTCCGTCAAGGTGCTAAAAGAGTTGGACTACATGTTATTCGTGAGCAAAGGAGCTCCCCTTTCGTAACCCTCGACTGACCTTGTTGATCCAGAATGTCGCAATGTTCATGAACCTGATGGGGCTATACTTCGCATACTTCTTTGTGAGGATGGGTCTTTTTTCTCCTTCATTAGCTTTCGCTTTGCTAATTCACAGACTCCAGGTCCCAGATCTCGCTCAAAGTAGAGTGGGATTTTCGTTCGACCGCGCCATTGACTTGTTAATTCTCATCAACGGCTTAGGAATCCCCGGACGCGTGGGACCAATGTGGCTTGCGGACAAGATTTCCAGACCTGTTGATGTGCTGATCCCGGTCAATTTGGTATGTGCCATTTTGACCTTTGCTTCCATAGCAATCAAGGACAGCGCTGGCGTCTGGGCATTTGTGGTTATGTATGGCCTGTTCGGTGCTGCACTCATTGGCCTCTTTCCTGCCGGTCTGGCCCATTTCTCCGGGGATCTCTCAACAGCCGGCTCTAGAATAGGATGGGGCTTTACAATCGAAAGCTTCGCCATCCTCATCGGCCCTCCCATCACGGGCGCACTGTTGCGAGGTGGTTCGTCTGATTATTGGCGCGCACAAACATTTGCCGGTTCCTGCTTTTCCCTGGGATTTTTCGTGCTGGTGACCACGAGACTGCTTCAATCGCATTCAGCGGGGAAGTTGTCTGAAAAATAGGACGTGGAAGCAGACATGAGCATCATGCACTCAACGTGCAGGCTAGAAATGCGAGCTTGTCATAGGATGGGAGAAGGAACATGTCTTCAACAATAGCTCCTCAATTCCCGGAGGACAAACTGGCCTTCCTTGTACCAATTCGAATCGCGGTGATGGTTGCAGTCGTCCACGGCCACAGCAGGCAGAAAGATAATACTCCTGCTTGGTGAATCGTGTTGACGGTACCTCAGCAGCAGGAGAAACCCGATACTTTCGGCAAGCGAAAGGCAGTGATGATGAGGGCGATGATGTCCTTCGAGTGGAATGCCACACAGACAACGAAAGTATTATTCATGTTTCAGTGGAAGTCCCTGCCCACCGCCGGAATTGTTTCAATACTGGACCGTGTCTGGGTCCTCCATAGTCTGATACAGAGCATCTACAGCCGATTTGACCTGTTCGACTGATTTGAAGCAAGGGAATTGCTTCTTCATTTCCTTCTGCGCAGAGCATCCGTCCAATACGTGGTCCTTCGAAGCTCTGCCAGAAACACATATACTTGTCAGACTGCAGAGTTCATGGCCAAGCCTATGTCGGCGAAACTGTCTTGTTTCGAAGCCATCACAGAGTTGTTGGAGATCTCCTGCTGTTCGTCGGATACAAACCTGAATGATTTCGGTACATTCCGAGTCGGTCAATAACATTGATTGCGGTGGTGAAGTCGTAGAGTCTTCATGCACAAGAGTACATCTGGGCAAGTGGACAGGTGTCGAGTCACTTGTTGTCGGTCTGACGAGATGCCATGCCGTGGAACACGAAAAGGCGATCGAGGAAAGAAGATGGCCGATCAGCAGTACGTTTTGGCAGGCTCTCGAGGGTAGGCTTTCCAGATTGTAACAATATTCACAAGAAAGTAGCGCCCCGGCGATTTGAAGAGCTTCTCTGGATTTGTTGACCGCATAGAATGCACCACGGTCCTGTGCGAGGTCGGCGATGATACTATGCCCTCGACTGTAACAGGAACATTGTGTGCGGGCCTGCTGGGCCTCAGATGGTTTTCCTGCCGACTGTAATCGCTCGGAAGTTCTGTCCAGGGCAATTCGAGGCTCTAGTGATACACGGGTTTCGTGGCCATGGTCTTGGTGACTGGGAGTAGATCTGTCGTCCATGGAGGGAGGAGCTCCTAGTCCCGCATTGGTAAATGGATCTGACCATCCCGACATGGTTGAATTTCCAGGATAATCGGCACATTCAGTTAGAGGCGGAGTGCTGAAGGATGATTCAGAGCTTTCGGCAATGGATGAAGGCTCGTAGCGACGGACAGCTTGAGCAGCGCCTTGCTTCCTAGGCCGACCTAGGGTCTTCTTTGCCGAATAAACGCAGTGTTGCGAAAATGAGCGGCAACGAGAACAACCCTCCTTCTCCCCGGAACATTTTGCCTTCCGATTCCCTGAGCATATGAGCATAGTTCGCTTCGACATCAATGTACTCACTGCAGCTGTCGCACGCCCTGTGGTAAGCGGATTCCATCATGGATGCAGCTGACCCTCGACTTCTCCCTCCTGGCGGCCGTTCGATAGACTCAATAAGACCAGGCACGAAGTTGCGACCGTCCCGAGCATCAAGTACGCACAACTCACTCACTCCAGAGCACATCTGCCCGCGGTCTAAGCGTTGCAGACACGAGATATCCTCGTACGTATCTCAACAGGCAAGGTACCTTAGTTGGTTGATACCGACGAGGCAGAAGTCTAGAACTTGAAGCTAAGCGAGGGAACTAAGCCGATACTGGTAAATTCCCAGTAATAGCAGCGGGATGCGAAACAACCGTATTAAGCTCGGTTTCAAATCTAATGGGTGTATTGCTGGGATACCTGTGTGTGAACTGTGCTGTAAGTAACCACTGCTTTGTTGAGGTATGTTGGCTGAGCGTTATATCGAACGTAGCATTTCAAGTTTGTTTAAAGTATCAACACGGCTACCGCAATAAATGATTAACGTGGAGCAGGACCCGAGTGGGCTGGAAAGGTTCCACGGTCACCCAGGCTAAACACCCAGGCTAAACACCGAGCATGGGACACACGTTACGGCACCACTACTGGTAACCTCACAGCTTCGAGCGAGATGTCGACTTCTCTGGTCACGACAGTTAGCTGTATCCCAAGAACAGAAACAATAAGCCAAGCTTGGCTGGACTGATGAGAGTGCAGTACCAAATACTCACCCTGCAGTTCCTTGTTTTTCTGAGCAAACCGCGCTTCCAGCGCTCCCTCCACGATTCTCTCACCCAGCGCATCTGCAGAATCATAGACGGCCAGCAGCCTATCCTTACGCAGCGGCATGTTTTGCAGTCGCTTGTGCTCCATCATACTCTTCCCGTCATTGACGGCGAGTTGTTCTTCCAGAAACTCGATGACTTTCTCATGGAACCCTTTTTTGGGAAGGATCCGGTTCACCAGTCCCCACTGCTCGAGCTCCTCCACGGTCATCTTGCGCCCAAGGAGAAGCAAGTCATTGGTCCGATGAACGCCCAATGACTGGGCAAAAGAGGTTGCAGAGCCGAATTCCGGGACCAATGCAAGCGCACTAAATGGAGCATGGAGGTAGGCATGTTCTGCGGCTAGAATGATATCTGCGACTCCAGTGAACCAGGCAGCGCCGCCTCCCACCGCGGGACCGTTGAGAGCTAGCACGAAGACCTTTTTATGGTCGATGAGGGACCGAAGAATCTCCTGAGCGCATACTGGAGCAGAGTCCGGGTCAGTCTGCTCAACCGACCCCTCCAGAAGAATGAAGGTGGATTGAACTTGGCGTTCTCTTACCTGCCGTTGTACTTGCCATGTAGTTGAGCTTCTTTGCTGCAGGATTGGTGAGGGTCTGATTCAGACCAGCTCGCGCTGGAAAGAAACGGCGGAATCAGCTTTACTGCTTCGGTGCGAGGCCGTATCGTCCTGGATCGAATTCTGCGGGGAAAAGCTTGAATGTTCGCCTACTCACCCTTTATATCAGCGCCCGAAGAGAAAAACCTGCCTTCGCCGGTGAGGACGGTGAAGACAGTATCCGGGTGCTCATTAAGCTCGCGGATTGCCGACACCAGTTCGGGCAGCAGGTTGCCACCAAAAGCATTGAGCGACTTGGGGCGGTTGAGCTGGATCCTTCGTTAGTGAGGCTCGGGTTGGCTGCGGAGTCTGTGCCTGGTCGGGTTCGGGTACCTTGATAATCCCAATCTTTCCCCTAATCTCGCAGATTATGTCCGTATACTCATACTTGCTCGTAGATGCCATGATGGATGGACTGCAGGAAGGCTCTGTAGGGAGCCGGTGGCTTCAACCCGGTACTAATCCAAGGGAGGATAGGCAACAAATGTACGCCAAAGGCGCTAGGCAGGCGATCGAATTATATAATAATATCGCAATGAATCGCGTAGTATCGACAACAACAAAGAGCAGTTGGCAAGCGTACTTACCATCTGACAACCCTGAGAGCAGGGGCTGTATATCCCCTGTAATCGGTTTAAGTGGTATACAAATCAACCTTCGCCGCGGGCCGGATTACAGCCTCGGCACTGCCTCACCAACTCTTTCAGTGGTGCATTCAAGGCCACCTACCTTTTTCCAGCATAGCTCTTTCGAAGCCGATCAGGCCATACCATATGGCAGTTTACTCAGCAGAGGTCCTCATAGTCCCCATATGCTTGAGCAAGTTTGTTCGTGACTGAATAGTCATATGTAGGTACCTACGAAACGCGAGCGTAACGTAGTGTGAGTAAGTAACGTACTAATTGGTAAGACAGTCCGCAACCATCACCCGCAAAAAGGAAAAAAAAACAATAACGTTATTGTAGATAGCCTTGATGATTGTATGCTTCTTTGCTACCTGGTCTCTGCCAGATCATAATGGCTTCCAGACGTCCGGTGGTCAAGTTTGACCCATGAGGACAATTTCCTCCGCCGACAACAACTTGAATTCAAATGAATTCAGCAGAGAACGGCCTTGTGTCCCACCGTTGTAAACATACCGCGGAGTATAGACACCCAACCTATCTGCGCAATGAAGTCATTTCTCGTCCCTGCGACTTTTCTTTCGCATTGCACGCGATCTGGACGTTGTAGTGCAGCGCCGTTGCCAGCATCCTCGCCATCCACAAAACACTCCTTTGAGCGACTTCACAAATTCCCCAGTAGAATACAATCATGTCGGAACCGATTCCAGAGTCCATCCCCACGTCCGCTGATCCTCGATCTCGCCGCCCCATCAAGCGTGCGCGCGGCGCCAACACGGCCCTGGCAGCACAGGCAAACGAGATAGAGACTCTTTTCTTGGATCCCAGCCGGCCAGTCACTCTCCCTCCACCATCGTCAGAAACAAAGCGGTCGCTACCGGCACCGCCCGAAATAGTTGCAAATGTACAAGGGTCCTCTGCAGGTGCTGGCTCGGGCGAGTTCCACGTGTACAAAGCCAGTCGGAGGCGCGAATACGAGCGGCTGCGGATGATGGATGAGGAGGCGAAGAAGGAAGAAGAAAATGAGAGGTGGGAGCGCGAACAGCGGGAGAGAAGAGAGCGAGACGAGGAGAGACTCAGAAAGAACCGCGAGAAGAGAAACAAGAAGAAAGCAAAGAAGGGAAACGTAAAGGACCAGCAGGAAAACTCTGGTAAAGTCAACGGAACGGGCGAGCAACACGATGCGGAGACTGGTGGTGTCATTAAGAAGGGCGGTGGTTTAGAGATTCCCAGACGGGGCAGCCAGACTGAAGACCAGGGGAGCGGAGAGTTTGGCGTTGCTGAGGCGGTCAAGGAAGCTGGTATTACGATTCTTGAGGATGACTGAGGGACATACACGAACGCGAGGCTTTTCAGCTCGACAGGAGCCTGTCGCACTTTTTATCCATACTGCAACACAACTCAAGTGAACACGGCGACTGCTACTGAAGCTATCTTTTCAGAACGAGCACTTGAGACGAGCAAAATTAAACCTCGACATGACGGCTCATGCTGGAGAGACGAGCACCATAACATGCTATCACATCGAACCACGGCACCTCATGCTCTATGAAGTCCTTTTGTCCCTTCCAACAATGGCTCTATCAATCCCACTGAACCAACGCATTAACAACTGCAACGAACCCGGCAAAGCACCATATAACGGCATACACTTGGCATAGAACGGGGACCTCAAAACCCCTCCATCACCCCTCTCTATGGTACGGACGATATCCTTAGCCACGTCCTTGGCAGCCAGCACAGGGCCGAAGAAATGTGCATAGAAGGGGACGGACGTGATATCAGCAAACAGCTGAGTATCAAGTTGGCCGGGTTCGACGAGGAGGGTCTTGACCCGTGCAAAGACAGTGGGATCTGGATGGTTTCGGAGTTCGTGACAGAGAGTCTGGTGGAGTGACGACACAGCGGCCTTTGACATTGCATAATCCGCCAAGCAGGCGGGTGCCAGGTGTGACAGGATCGAGGAGATGGTGACGATATGCGCACCCTTTGCCGACGCTATAAGCCGAGGAAGCAGGACTGACAGGGTATTGAAGTGTGACAGCGTGTTGATCTCCAAGGTCCTGCTGGCCTGTTCGGGTGACAAAGACGATGGATTCTTGAGGGTTGAGACCAACGGAAGCGCGGATACGGTTGTGGCGGCGTTGTTGATGAGAATCGTGGGACTACCGAGCTATTTTTCCGGTTGGACGGTTAACACATACCTTAGGAACGGCGGGAAGAAATAGCTGCAACACAAGAGGGTAGGTAGACACGCAACAAGTCAACTTTAGGGGAGCAGCAAGTGATAAAAGGCCCCGGGAAAAGAAAAAGGAAAAAGGCAAAGACATAATTTACCTCATCAACAACACTGTCCATCGCGCTCTGGACCTCATCCAGCCTCGCGACATCGACCTGATGCCAAACCAAATCCCACCTCTCCATCTCATCCAAGGCCTCCGCATCAGGCTCTTTGACATCCCAGATCGCAACCTTGACCCCCTTTCTCACGAGCATCTGCGCAATCACTCTTCCCAGCCCGGACCCGCCGCCCGTGACCACGGCGACCTCGTTCTCCCAGTCGACTTTGCGATGCGGCCCATGGGCGACACGATGGTTGATCCAGATCGCGCACTCTACCACGGCCAACGCCGCCGTGTAGTACAGCGTATAGTAGGCCAGTGGCTCGCGGTGTTTGTGCACTGAGGCCAGACACAGGTAGAAAATCAGGCTTATCCACGGGTGGAAGATCGAGTTGGCTAGGATCAGCAGTAGGAGGTCCAGCGTGATGTAGCGGTACCATGGTTTTGGTTTGGATTGTACAGGTATCGACCTGGACGGGGTAGGAGTAGACGCCATAATATTATCCCCTCCTTAACTGGTGCTTCGTTGGGTTCAAGTTTGTGCTGTCGCAGATGATCAACAAATTAGTGTCGATGGCCGATGTCAATGCCGGTATCGATGAGAGTTTGCAAGGTGGCCGTCAGGTTGAGACAACTCGACGACTCAACAATCTCGACCTTGACCTTCGTTTCTTTGTCCTCCTGAACCAGGGAAAAAGGAGAAATGACCGGCCGGTTAATGCTTCATGGAGGTCGATGAGACAGAGTGGTGACGCGAAGACTTTTGTTGCGGTTCAAGTTTCAGCTGGATCCTGCCAGCATCGATCGATTTTGAAATATGAAAATCGTACAGTAAATACAGTTAAACAATAAACAAACTTCAGGCACCATATATGTCGCTGTACAAAGAAATCAGAAGAAAAAGGAAATCGATCAACAGCGGAGAGCTATCACAACAGGGTGTCCAAAGGGAACTTGTTTCATGTGCAGTGTTGCAGGTTGAAACGAAACATTTATTGATTAAGTAAGCATGGCAGGTGGAAACAAGCCACCTAAGACGACCTGATCTTGAATGCGAAAATAACAAGGCACTCGTTCTACACGCGGGACTGTAGGTAGGTAGACATGGCATGTGAAATATCATACTCCATTCGCAAATATATTCAATCACCGGAGTCACGGCTGGATTTTATATCCGCGGCGAATAACTGAGTATCTATCATCGACAACAGAGCACAGTCAAACACCTCTGGAAGAATAATCGATAAGTAAAATGAACCCTCAAGCAAACTCCGAGCGCTTTCCAGACGTGGCTGGACACGTGCGGCAGCGAGCAATCCCCCTTTGATAGCAATTCGTTGATGTGCGCTCAAACCACGATATCACACAGGCTGGAGCTCTGGTCGTAAAGTGTCATACGGGCAATAATAGCCCCCCCAAAAAGATGAATCGTTGACGGACCGAAGACAACGTTCCATAAAGCCCAGAAGGCATTGCGACTAGGGTATCTCGGAAAGTCGTTTCAATATCCATCATGCTGCCTCAAAGCCGGTTCACAAAGGCCCAATTGCATTTCATGCGTCTGTACGGCCGTCTAGTTCAAGAAAATCACCGTCATCATTATCGGCGTCGGCCTCGAAACCGTCCGCGTCGACGACAATGCGTCGCCCCAGATCATGCTCGGGTACGCCGTCGCGAGCCGCGCCGTAATCAAGAACCTAGGTCAAGTTAGCGGAATTCAACCCCGAGAGTGGTCCATGGAGGCTTACCTCTATGTACGTTAATCCATCCCTCTGCACAGCAGCAACACAGCGGCGTTCATCAAATTTGACCTGCCAAACCCCACTCAGATCGGAAAGCAGGTCTTTGATGCATTCACCGGTTTTGATATTCCACAGTTTCAGTGTTCTGTCCGATCCCGAAATGACCTTCTGAGCATCATGCTTGAAACAAGTGATGGCACCTGTATGTGCACTCAGAGTAGCTTTGCACTGTCCATTTTCCGGATCCCATATCCTAAGGGTGGAATCCGCAGCTGCGGAAACGAGCTTGTCACAATTCAAGTCGAGCAGGCCAACAAGTGATGTGTGGCCCTCCAAAGTATATTTGAGAGAGCCTGTGTTCAAGTCCCAAATCCGTACCATGTTGTCCATCGAGCCACTTATACATCGGTTACGGGCATGATCCAAGACCACACTATAGACCTTTGCTGTGTGACCCTGCAGACGATGGATAGTTTCGCCGGTCGAGATCTTCCACACCCGTACGGTGCAGTCGTAACTACCACTCACCAATGTATCGGCATAGGCGGCAATGGCTCGCACAGAGTGTTGGTGACCAGTAAGTGCGCGCACAAAATAGGGGCAATTATCGGCGTCATTATCACTCTCAGCCTGGATGAACTCTGGGTCGCCCGGCCGTGGAAGCTTCCACACGCGAAGCGTGGAATCGCGGGAACCGGTGATAATGAGAGGCTGTTTGGGCATCATGATGGGTTTCCCTTCGGCATTCTCTCCGACCTTGACAGGCATCACAATCTGCAAGCACCTCACCGTGGAGGTGTGCCCACGGAAGACCTGAGTCTCACGCCCCTCTTGAATGTTCCAGACGCGAACCGAGCGGTCAGTCGAGCCCGAGACGAGAGTATTGCCTTCATACTGTAAGGCCCAGACGCCACCTTCATGGCCTGTCAATATGGACCTGAGTATGCCAGTCTTGGTTTCATAGACATTGATGTTATTATCATCACTTCCCGTGAGGATCTTGTCACTATCGAATTGGAGACACGTGACCACATGCGTGTCATGTGCACGGAACGCGAGGTGCTTGGGTTTCGTGTCTTCGAACATCCAGTTCCTTCGGATGAGATGATGTCGGCGATAGAGAGATTTGTAAAGATGAAGGCCCTTCAAACTCGGTAGGCCAACATTGGGATGGGGCACGGCCAACAAGGCGGCATTGGCAGCAATATAAGGGCCCTCGGCCGGCGACCGGTGTTGTGCCCAGTCGAGCGATGTGACGTCATTGGATGACTCACGTGACACGTCCTTGCGTTTGACTTGTTTGTTGCGGTTCGACAACATGGTGGCCGCCTTACGTTTCGACCGACGGAGGACTCCACTGAAGCGGTTTTGCGGCGGTGGAGTTGACGGAGATGTGTTTGTGTTGCTGTAGGCGTTAGTCTCAGTGTCGGACTTTGACCCGCGGACGTGGTTGAGGTTCTCCTCATAACCATACGGTCCAGAGGGATCTTGCCAACCCCAGCCTTCGGAAATGGCTTGTTGTAATTCCCCTTCGGCTAGGGAGAACCCATCTGCATCGAAAAGCTCTTTCCAGGCTCGCTCGTCACCATTGATCATTTGTCGCCACTTCTTGGAGACCTGGGCTGCTTTACACAGACTCTTGACGTCAAGGTATTTGAGGATATTCAGAGCTAGTTCGGGAGGCAAAATCGTGAGGAAGTCGCATTTCAGCGCTGGGTTAACCGCGTCTGCAACTATTTGTAGGGTGGACTTGGGGCATCGGCGGAGTAGTTGGTGCATGACATAGCTCTTCAACTCGTCGGGGATGGCTTCAAAAAAGTCGAGCATAGCAGGTATATCAGTCACCGACCCATTTAGAAACGAGGATAATTGACGAGGGGACGGTCGAGACCTCAAATCAACAGGCTGATGGCCTTGGAATGGGTTCAATGGCTGCTTGTCAGTAGGAGAGACCCCGGACGCTGTATGTTGCTGCAGCTGCTGCAAGGGTACCTCCGTGTTAGCATCAATATCTGCAAAATAGCCCGAATTTTGCAAAGTTGCCGCCGCTGTGACGGGCGATAGGCTCGGACTAGGAAGGCTCCCATCATGAGCCGATGGACTGGCAGAAACGTGGAGCCGAGCAGGCACGGACGATAAGGCTCGTCTACTCAGGGGTCTGGTCGGATTTGACCCCGTTTCGTCGTCAATAGGAGGCGTAGGTACCACAGTCTCTTGCGATGAGCCTCGACGCACTATCCGACCGACAGTTGTACACTCAGTCGAGCCACTCACGTCCTCGTCAAATGATGATGTGTCCTGGCTAATCTTAGACGTCCTCGATCTCGGGTCTGCAAAAGCAGAGCGTTCATCCACACTCGGTGAAGGAAGGGTAGTCGTGTTTCTCGAAGGGTTGGGCCCGCTCGGCGCTACACGTCGGCGGCTTGATTTGGGCAGCCGAGAAAGGCTGTCTGGTGTTACAGGATGCGAGCATTGTGAAGTCAGGTTATGTGATCGGGAAAAGTCGAGCCTCTCTCTGAGGATCCGCAATGGGCCCGGATGTACGAATGCGGTCTGTGAGGCCGGCGAAGTAGCCTGCTCCTCATTGTCGGGGATAGACTCTGGGGAAGCCGGCCGTTTCTGACCTCGAGTCTGTGGAAGTGACACGGTCGGACCGACATCTGGTATTTCGGTCCAGGGCTCGAAAGTCTCTACCGTCCGGATGGTTCCGTTGGCATTTCGGAGCGTCTGCTGTTCGACTTCGAGCTGTGCATCCAGTTAGCATTCATCTGCAAAGTGATCATGTTCTCTTATACCTGTTCTAGCGCCACTGTTGTATCTTCAGCCTCGCGGAAGATTGTCTGCTTTCCCCCTATTTCGAAATGTATCTGGCGTAGATGTGCGGGTGTGGGGGCGGCTGCAAGGGGGTACTGCTTCGGATCGAGCTCTTGCATACGGCGGGGAGGGCGCATGAGAAGTGGGGGAAACTTGGTGGTGGTCGTAGTAGTGGTTGTGACAACTGTTGTCTGCGTAGCTGGAGCAAAAGAGAACTGTCCTAAGACGGAGTTCGGCTCGATGTCGCGAGGACCGACTGAAAAGCCCCGACTGCTAGGTCGTTGTGAGGTTGCGGAAGCCATTGGCCGGAACTGATGGCCATCTGGGCCCGTACCGTCCATCATTCCCTCACCCACCATTGTGCACGAGGTGGTTGCCGCAGGCGTGGAGAAGAAAAGCAGACCATGCGCACTCCCTTTGCGTGGATTCCTGCGTGATGTCGGCGCGTCGCCTCTTCGCAGAAACGAGCCGAAAATGTCTCCCCCTCTCGAGTCTCAACAAGATAAGTGATGTACTTTGATCAATCGGCCGGGCCAAATTTTGCGGGGTCTTTGTTAAGCACTGGATTCGGGTGTTGTGAGCGAGGAGGGCACGCTCGGTAAAAGTCGATTATGGGCGTATGGCCGACCGGGAAAGCCCACGCAACACTCTTCGGATAAGGGACGCGACTAGGTGAACGAGCAATGCATAACGCTGGATCTCAGAGGAGCAGATAATATCTCCTTGGTGGGTAAGGGTGTCAAGTCAGACTTGTAACAAAGAACCGGAGAAGTCGTGGTTGTTTGGTATGTCCGGAGAGTGGCATAGAGTGGGCGGAAAGAGACTAGTAGTAGTAGTGACCACTGCGACTGCACAAGGCTTCTACTACTACGGTACAACACGGTAATAAGGCCCGCAGCGCAGTTCGATACTTCGCTTGGCGTATCCTTAAATAATGACGACGCGGCTTCTACCTGGTACCTAAGTACTACCGTAACCACTGGCAGCAGGTACCAGAGGAAAGGTTTGATCTCTTGAAGACACCTTACTACGACAATGAAAGCTATGTGATTATATGAGCATGCTCTGGACTATTAACTCAGACAATCCCGGACCGATATACCCGTCGACCGTGTACTATTATTGAGAGAAAATTAATTTTATTTTTATTGCTCACCCTAATCGCCACCAAAAGTGTCGATGCTTTCGATAGTCGCCGCTGTCCTCATTATTCGGACTTCGACCGGCAGGAAAATACATCAATTGATGCACTCTTCGTGCATGCGTCAGGTCGATACAAAGCCTCATGTCTAATTCCTGGACGCACTTCAGCAAGGCTGTGGTCAGCGATCCCTACTGCGTATGTGTCTATGGCGAGAGCGAGGTCTGAGAGGAAGATAGAGAGTTCACAGCCTTACTCTACCTGGGGTTTTCAGACAAGAGGAAATTGCAATTCTTTTTTATGAGCATCAATGACGTCCCACTGCAAGGATCATGGGGGTTTTCTGTTGAGTCCTTGAGAGAGGCGTGCTTGTGCTCTGTTCGCTTCTTGTGTGCTTCGAACCACAATTTTTGATCTGATAGACACCGTGTGCCGCTGCATGATTGCTGGCAGTTCAAATGGAGCAGAGTGGCGGAAAGTATTTGGTCATGTATGGGCAATCACAGTTGCAAGTCCAGGACTTGCAGAACTTGAACGGCCGTCCTGCAGCTGAGGGGCCTTCTACCCATAAGGTGCTAGTACGGGAGGTACATGTCGTTGCACGCTTCGAAGCCTGCGATCTGCCATCATCTTTCTTTTCTTTCCTTCGATCAGCCCTCCCTGAATCTCAACTGCAGCAATGGCTGAACATAATATTTCTCTTCCGCCCTCAACCGGAGGCCTCTCGGAGGCACAGAGCTTATCCCTGGTTCAGATTTTCCTGAATGCTTCCCTAGCATGTATTGCACATACCAGAGAGCTCATTCCATGGACGTCCCCTTCTCTCCAGACTCGATATATTGACCAGATCGATCCCGCCATCCTAACCGGACAGCTAAGCGTGTACGAAGCCTTCCAAGTCCTCGACACTCAAGGCGTTCGAAGTGGACAAGAAATCAGAGTCCTGGTTCACGGTGGCCACAGATGTGCCGATCAGATACTTGGGTTGCTGGTGAGAATTACAAAAGGCTGCTTTTCTAGCTGACTTGACGAGGATCAGGAAAATGGTGTTTTCAGTGCTCTGGAGCATGGCCATCTTGAAACATTGCAAGTATTTGTCACTGACAACGACGAATCTCCTCGCACCGTGATCGAGAGCTATAGCTTTGCCTTCTCCTATGATCGAGGACGGGTTAGCACGGTCAAGATGACTCCCACGAACCAAGTCTTCGTGCTGGAGCAATTCCAGAAGAGTTTCAAGGCTGCGATACGAGTACTCCTGCGTTCTTTGAAGCCTCTACACCGTCTTCCAGGTTTGCTAGGTCTGCTACGCTGTTGAGAACAATACTTATTTTAGGCAGCACGGCGTAAGCTGGGCATGAGTCTCAGCTACAATGACAGGTGTCCTGACAACTACCAACCAACCGGGTTTGTTGACATCAACGAGCTCGCTGAGCCCAACGGCCCATTGATATGTGAAGCATTGGAACGAACGATGGGAACTACAGTTGGGAGCCTGCACACTGGGCATCACAGCGTCAATGTTGGGGTGTCTGGGACAATATCCAGCAAGGAAGGCACATCGCTGGATCCAGAAGATGCCGCTATGAGCAAACAGTTGCAGGCTATGCAACAGACGTCTTCCGTCCAAGGCACCAACCTAGTGTCTACACTGCCAGATTGCCGCGCCGGATCAAAGCGGCGTAACAGTTTTGTCTGCTCTGATCAAAAACGTTTGAAGCGTGCTGAATCCGACAAGATCGCGAGCAACAGCCCGGCAGATCAGAGTAAGGAGCAGCTCATACCGATCGATGACCTCGAAACGTCCCAGAGAGGGCATGATGAAGCTACTCCTGGGGGTTCTGCCTCGTCCGGTGACACGCAAGTGCGAAAGTGTCGGGTAACCCCGGACGAGCACGAGGACATCACTGTAACGCTTTCAGTGCGGAAGCTGGCCACGCTTCTTATCCACTGCTACGCTTTAAACTCTGAAGCGGCTGGCGGTGGTGGAGATATTTTCGACCAAGACCTTCTGAGGACCGGGATCATAAGGCGGGTGGTTCGCTCGGATAAAGTCAGATGTGAATGTGGGAGTGTCGCCCCCTTGGGTCCAATGGTGAGTTTGCAACGATGGATATCCCCAGCCGTCTGATCTCTGCAGATCTACTGTGAAGTCTGCGACGAATGGCAGCATGCGGAATGCTACGGCTATAAGGGAGCTTCGGACACCGCAGCACCGTCAGAACGCTTCTGCTACACTTGTCTACTGTTTTCGGCAGACGAAGAAACCGCTATATCGCCGGCATACATCGTTTATATTCGACTTGCAATGAGAACCTTGACAAATCCGACAATGGCAGACCTTGTTGTGGACAAAGATAAGCTGCAATCAATCATTCAGCCACCGGAGTGTGCGGGAGACAACCTAAATAGAGCCATCGATCACCTGTTGAGCGAGGGCGTCCTCAGGCAAGTGAATAGGCGGCTTTGGCAGATTCGCTCTCTTCCGAGGTCGAAGTCGAAGGGACTCAACGACAAATATGGCAATCCATTTGCGTACATTGGGCATCTCTATGACATGAGCAAAGGTGCAAAGGATCCGCGGCAGCGCAGCAACGACATCGCCGTGGCCATCGAGGAGTACGCACAGGGGCAGGACTTCACAAAGGGCGAAGGATGTGTTAAAGTTAGCTGCTATGAACCGTTTGGTGAACTTGTGGTTCGATGGAGCTACTTTAACAAGAAGCCCCCCTCGGGTTCTGGCGCGAGGACCGCACACTCACCTCCCATCACGCCAGCACCCCGTCGCAAACTCAGCGTGTCGCGTTTTCTGGTCAATATTGACCGCTCGCCATCCACGATGAGCATGAGCTGCGAGGGAATATCTCTTCGGATTCCGGACAGTGGCCTGAGTAGCGACTTTAGTCCAGGCGCCTCTACCGCTACCGCCGACTGATGGGGATGGCCAGGACACTGGGTCTGGCAACGAATAATGGTTATGGTTGTATGCAAAGACGGAAGGGAAAGCGGCTTCACGGAGCTCACAACTGATGCTACTAGTAGTAGAGGAGACACCACAGGGCTGTAGTCAGGTAGACAGGCACAACTTGAATGTTAGATGGCACAATAGAGCGCCTTCAACTACGTGAGAGTCCCTGATCAGCTCTGACTCTGGTCCCAAGTACGCGGTGAGAAGCCCCCATTCCGGTCATTATCAGCATTATCAAAAGTCACTTCAAGTCAACTACTCGTACTACTATAGTAGTGAATCTTGTGATGCTGCCGAGGGCTGAAACCATCTCTTCCAATACTAATATTTGCGCAGGTGGACCACTCTGGAAAATTGCTTGCAGAGCCGAGCGAAAGACTCCATGATTGCTGATCTTGCTTATTCTTCGGCTGATGAAGGTGACCTCGAAGCCTCCACCGGCGTCTTTTCCTTCCAAGGTCGATCTTGTTATAAGATTCACAGATTCCGAAGCAGGCAAGATCGTCGAACAGGTTCGTTGTATGGCCCCTGAAAATCCTCTTTGGCCGGTCCGGAAGGTGGGAACCTTTAGGACTCTCGGCCAGTCGTGTTGTTGGCTTGCCCAGCGGCTAAAGGAGTGCGATATTGACACTTACAACATTGTAGCTTGCTAGCCTCAATCTGGGCGGCACGCCGACTCGGATGAGCACTCTCTCCATATTCCTCTTTGCTCAAGTCCCGCTCACCGTGACGGTTAGTGTCCAACGCTGTACATTTCTCAGAGGGGAGAAACCCTCAACAGGGCTATCGGGTCCTAAGGTTTTTGTTTCACCCCTGCCGTGTGCCAAAGCCGGGCTCAAATGGAGCGCCCCGTATCCCCAAACTCTGCCTGTTTGACCATTCAGCACCGGAGCTACCTCTTCAGGGCCACCACACCAGCATCCCACAACCCTGCTTAGCGCTCCTAGTCTCCGACTCGCTGGATTCTTTCAATGCTCTGCTGTTGTGAGGGCCCCGGAAGAAGCCATCACCATCCGAAGGAAGTTGGGAGGGCTAGTCGGCGCCAGCATCACATGAACTACTTCAACCTTCCAACTTCGAGAGTCCATTGAGGGGACCGCTTCAAGCCACATTGCTGACTTGGGGTACGATCCACGATATCTCGACCTGGAGTCACCATAAAGCCCGGTATTACGGTCGACGGCTCGACCTTTAGCTTTTCGACGATCCAGTTCGCGCGTTTATCGGCCCATCAGAGTTCGTCATCGTCGTCCAGAAAGCCCCGGTGGTCCACCGCCCTCGGCCCTCCACCTCTCACTTCCATTACCGTCACTGCTCCGTTCGACAAAGTTGTCGGTCCCCATCGTCCTGACCGCAGCCCAATGCGGCGTCTTTCAATAAACACAAGACACCTCCCGTTTCTTGCCTGTGTATTCGACCGTCGCCCAGCATTAGTGACACCGTGAAAACTACAGACAGGACCATCGCGCCGCCAAACCGACTTTACCGCAAGATCTTGAGCCCACCGCTGTTGTGCCCGTCCGAACCTCGAGCCTTTTGCGCCTTGTGAATGTGGCACGAGAAGGATGCTTCAGGGAATTGGTGCTTGCAACACTACTGGCCTGCGCGCTTAAGGGCGAGGGAAACAATGCTGTGCTAAAGAGCTGGCCCTGTTACCATACCGGTGGGGGCTGCTCTCAATTTCAGCGTTACACAAGTTGAGCGACAATTGGGATATCATCATAAGAAGAACGCAATATGGGGAGCAGTCAAAAGTTTCGCTTGCCGAGTTCTCTCAGGCGGGAGAAGACACGCCATCAGCCTCAGTCCCGGCCTCAGGACAGGCTTTCTGATGGGAAGGATTCTAAAGCACAACATATCCTGGGTCTCACAGAAACCGCCCTCAACACGGCCCGAAACGAGAGCATAAGTTCTTCGACCACGACAAGACTGCCCAGGTTGTCATTTTCAGATGCCACGACCGAGTTCGGGTCTGCTACCGCACCCTTGGAGAGTCCGGAGCGTACTCAAGACCTGCAGCTGAAAGCGTCTTCCGTGCTGCTGCACGAAGAATACCACATCACTGCCAATCGTGCAAATTCGATCCGGTCAAGTCGGCTTAGACCCTCCGGTTCCTCCTCTACGTTAAATTCCCATTACGACCCACAGAAATCACCGCTTTCCATCTCACAACAAACCTCGGAGTCGTCCAGACGAGACTTTGCCCTCCGTAAAGGCTCGCCAATCGTGGTCCGCTCCACCACGTCCGATAAAGATTCTCTCCCTCAACTAAGACTGTTCAGGTCGTCGAAAAGTCGAGACAAATCGGAGGCGAAAAAACTCAGCAAACAAGGCCCTCGGCCGCCAGTTTCGTCGCCTAATCCGCTGCCTACAGGTCAGCATTCTTCCACACCGGCTGCTCAAGGCGCTCCGGTTTCACTCCCACAGTATAGCGTGAGCCCGCGTTCGCCCATGCATAGTGTGGATGCGCATCTCCAGTCCACTTCCCCGCGAAGCCTGGGCAAGTCCGGGACTTTGCCAGCGTCAACTAGCTCCAAAGCCAACCAAAACGAAACTCCTCATGTCAAGGTCAATATCAGGCGACCGAAGGTGGGGCTGAAGCACTGGTTTGACGGGCTTGAGGGTGACAGTAGCGAGGATGAAAGCATTCATGAACCTGCATTGCAGCCCAGTTTTGTTACTGGTATACAGACAGCATTTGAGGATGGAAAAATAGGGTCCTTTTCGCAGAGTACAAGCAGTCAAGATCCCTTGCCGGACCCCGCCCATCAAGGCTGTGGCTCTCATGCTTCAACCACGTCGAACACCGGCTTTCGCCCTTTTCCCCATTCCGCGCCCATACCTTCCAGGATCTCGACCCTCAATGCAAAGTCCTCCAAGTCAACTCTTCGTCGTGACGCCTCAAGCCCTCCTTGCTTGAACCCTCCAAAGCCGAAGCCAAGCTCACTAGCTTCACGCGATCTGCATGAAACTAGTGTTCTAGACCTTTCGTCTTCCGATGATGAAGATTCCCAACCTGCTGTTGTGGAATCAACGCAAGGCAGTTTGCCTCAGTTGCGGGATAGTATTGCTGCCGAGTCTCTTGCCGAATCGGAAATCGAGATTGGCACTGCGCAAGCCATAGACACAAAACAAACCTCTATGGTGCAAGCAACGCCCAGTGTACGGAGAGTGCACAACAGTCAACTCAAGCGTCATGGACGGCCGTCCATTCGACACAACAAGATACCTGACCAGCGATCAATGTATTTCAGTGATCAATCGTCGGAGCCAGCATGGGAAGACAACGATCTACTTACTTCGTTCCCCGCCACGCCCACAGACACGCCTGGTTCACGCCGTGCGTCTGTCCAGAGCTCCTCCTGTCGGTCTGAGCATGCGAGCATAGAGAGCCGGAGGCTTGTCAGTGTCACTAGGCAGGAGGAGTCGCTGTTGGCTGCTATCCGATTGAGGAGACTGACTGCAACCCAATCGCGTGGCAGCTCAGCCAGCCGCCGCATCCAGGGTAGCAGAGACCCGGATCAAGTGATAAAACAACAGCGTCAACCTGAGATGGGCTCATTGGGCGCGGAACTCACGGCTCTTCCGCGGATAGGAAAGGGGGATGTCACCCCTTCTATTTCTTCCGCAAACTTTGACCGTGCCTCATGCACGACATTCCAGACTGGAATATCTAATGATCCAAGCCTGCGATATTCCTTTGCCAGTTTCAAGACGGACACTTCCCTAGACCCGGAGACCGAATTCTCTATGTCGCTGGGGCTGGGTTCGCCCGTGCTACTCATTCCATCGCGAGGCATCAATCGCTTGAGCCGAGTGACTTTCTTTTCCACGTCAACTGGGGACTCGAGAGATGGCTCGTGTAGCCGTCGTGAGAGCGGTCCTATTTCGACACTAGAGAAGCTCCAAGCAGTTCCCAAGCGGGAGGAGATCACGTCCCAGGAGTTCATCGATTTCCCATACCGCGGGTGGGAAGCGCGGTCGGACCTGGCAGCACATTGATGAGCTGGACCTGCTGTTCGACTGGGTTCGTCCCCTCTCCATATGTTATTTCGCCCTTCTTGTGGGATATTTAATGGAACTCGAAGCAGCCATATGGTTGTCACTCGGCGAAGTTACTGTGTACTATAATACTATATCTATATTAAACGACAATGCTTACCAGGGCATAATTGTCTCCGCCTCAGCACCTTGAAAGTGTAGCCGAAGCGCATCGGATTGATTGCAAAAGCACAAAATAATTCATTATTGGGGTGGTTCATTAATGGGTGTCCGACTTATACGAAGAGTCGTAGTGCGATAGATGCTAGGAGCGAAATGCTGCTGCATACATTAGTAGCATGTGCACATACACCGCCACGAGACTTGACTGAAAGAAGCATGGGTTAAAGTTCTTGAGTGATTGCCCTACTAATTAAGTATCGAAGACTGCCATGTAGATTGATGGGACTCGAGTCGGATGGGATGGAACTTCGGTTGAGTGTCAAATCTGGGGTGAACTTCCTCCCGCTCAAATCAGGGACACGCGCCACGGTTCCGTCGACGTAGTATACCCACTCCTCGCCAATCGTTTCCAGCTTCTCTCGATTGACGGTGTACACATTATTACAGGTATGGGGTCATGCTGACCTCGCCGTTCCTTGTTGCGGTGTCCGGTGACCTTGCATTAATATCGACCTTCTATTCCGCTACGCTGTATGGTTTAACGTCTCGAAGCCGCTCGACTTCCTTACCAACGACCTGTCCACTCCTTTGACCACCCATCTCTTCAGTTTCCTCTTGTTCGACTGACCCTGCCTGGCGCAGAGCCCGTTGCCGACACGCGACACGCGACAGCTGCAAGAAACGAAAACGCACTATAAATACGACTTGAACTGTTCATTGACAGTGCAGACAACGCAGCAGGATGGGGTTCGATCGCGTGGGCACTTCGCCCAAGTTCTTGGGGGCATCATTGCGCAGCCTGACTTTGGGTCTTGTAAGGAGACGAAGCACTTTGTCGGTGGTTGTAGAAAGTGGCTGACGAGCATGGCAGTTGACTGTCCAATTCTCTGCATTCATTCTGGTGCGCAATCGCTTCTGTTAGTTGTTGGAACATCCCAAAACTAATCCAGCATCATAGGTCCTTCATTATTCTCGCGTGATGCCGACGCCGGACGGGCACCGCTACCTCCCCTCCACGGCCGTCTTCCTCGTCGAAGTCCTAAAGCTGGCGGTCTCGCTGACGATATCGTTGTACGAGTTTTCGCTTACGGCGCCGCGTTCCATGCCGGCGACTTCTCTTCTCGGAGCCCTGGGGAATGCCGTCTTCGCAGGAGATAGCTGGAAGATGGCCGTGCCGGCCCTGCTTTACACTCTATCCAACAGTTTGCAATATGTCGGCATCTCCAACCTCGATGCGGCCACATTCCACGTCGTGTATCAGTTCAAGATCTTTGTGACTGCCGTGCTAAGCGTGGTACTCTTGCGGAGAAAGATAACAGCGCGGCAGTGGATATCTCTCATCATGCTTATGGTTGGGGTTGCCATCGTCTCCTGGCCTCAAGGCTCCGGCAGCTCGTCCCTGGCCACCAGTCATCATGCCCGTGTCTACGTGCCAAGGTCGGTGAAGACGCTACGCGAGCAGGGTGCTCGACTTATGAAGAGATCGGCTACATACGAAGGCATTGCAGAGGACGAACTGGCGATGGACAATCCCGGGATGGATTCGTCGCTCGGGTTGCTTGCTGTTCTGGGCGTGTGCATCTTCTCCGGCCTGGCGGGTGTCTACTTCGAAAAGGTCATCAAGGAATCCCCAAAGGCCACATCGCTCTGGATCCGAAACGTGCAATTGTCGACGTATTCCCTTTTTCCTGCATTTTTCATCGGAGTCATTTTCCTCGACGGCGAAACGGTGGCCAAGTACGGCTTCTTTGCCGGGTATAATTGGGTTGTGCTTTTGTCAATCGTCATTCAGACGTTTGGCGGCATCATTGCGGCATTCTGCATATACTATGCAGACAACATATCAAAGAATTTTGCTATCAGTATTAGCATGGTTTTGAGCAGTCTAGCGAGTTTTGTTTTCTTCGACTTCTCCATGTCGAGACATGTATTTGTCACCCCACGCCCATTTTCTTCCAGACATGCTAATCCGGTTCAGTTTCTCGTCGGCGCATCGATTGTCATGTTGGCGACCATCCTTTACAACACGGAAGAAGCCCGTGTGCAACAAACCCCCACGATAAAGGTTTTCGCCGAGGAGAAGCTCGCGTCGAATGCTGCAGCAGAGGCGAACGACATGTCCATACAGATTCCTAAGACGCCCCTGAGCCACGAAGAGACAGCTCTGGCGACTTCGCGCCCTGGGTCGCCGAGTCATAAGAAACGAAAGAACGAGTCCCTGGGCTATTTCACGAAGCATCATGACTGAAAGCCAACTTGAGTAGAAGATGGCTTACGATTGGAAAGTAAAAGTGGTGGATTGGACGGTATACGTCGGTAACGACATTTTGCAGTCTGCTTGGAGAGCTGGGATATACCCCATTGCTGAGCCTCGACCCTCGGGCGGGTTCTCTGGTTTCGTGCAACGATAAAGATGAGTTTGTGGCCAGTACTACCTTAGGTAGGTAGGTACTCACCGGGACCTGCTGGCAGTGGTCACAGGTGGAAAGGAAATGGGAATACAAGGAAAAGGGGTGCATAATCACGTGTCGTTGACGTGCCTGCCTCTCGCCTCGTCTGAGTCTGACCACACTTACTGGCATTGGCATTCACTCCCACGCGGCTGCCTGCATCCTAAGTTCAAGTTTTCAGTCTGTTTGAGAATGTTTTTGCTTTGACACCTCTGCCAATTTGCTATCCAGCTCCCCTGTTATCCGTTGCACTACCTCCCCTCTGCCTTTGGTTCTGGCGCTCTTGTGCGATGGAGAACTTGAACGCCAGGATATTTCGTCCGCCCATCAGGCGGGACTCATATGCCGCACCCGAGCGTGAAGCAAGCACAAACCCTGCACGATCACGATCCCATCTGAATGCTCCTCATCCACGTCAGTCAGCACCGCGTACACGCATCCCTCGCTATTTGCCTGTTCCTCCTTCGCACGACATATTCGGTCGCTCCTCTTCCCCGGATATAGATGTTCCACTCGACGATTTCGGTGGGTTCCCGGAATAGACTGTGTGTTTGCGCGGTCGGTTGCTTACGTTGATCAGACAAAGAGCTCCTTGGGGAAAGCCTTGAAGCCGCTGCTTCGCCGGAGCAACGGGCGGCCACGCGGGTTTCTTTGCCACCGACGCTATACACTCCCTTGACACTTCGGGGAACACGGGGCCAGCCCACCGGTAGGGCAGAAAACGGATAAGTTGATCTCCAGCTCATGCTTGGAACAGATGGACATACCGTTTCCTCCTTTTTCCATCCCTCAAGCTCTTCACCTGCTCACCCAGCAACAAGCCCGACAATTTCCGCACTGCAAAATCATCGCACAAATAGAACAAAATCATCCAATGCGTATACTGCAAATGTCCCAGACCTGACGCCGAGGATGGGCATAGGCAGACCAAGGCCCAATACCATGATGTCTCTTGCCTCTGCGCCGCCTGTTGTCCAGGGTATCCAGCTTGTACCGGCGACAGCACTACCTGATAAGCTTCGTTCAGTGGTCAAGTTCGATGTCTTTAATGCAATCCAGTCCAAATGTTTCTCCCCAGCTTTTGAAACGGATGACAATATGGTAGTGTCAGCCCCAACAGGAAGCGGCAAGACCGTTATCATGGAACTTGCCATCTGCAGGCTCATTGCCCAGTGTCATGGCGGAGACTTCAAAGTCGTCTATCAGGCTCCGACAAAATCCCTTTGTTCGGAAAGGTATCAAGATTGGCATGCCAGATTCGGTGTTCTCAACCTGCAGTGCGCCGAACTTACAGGTGACACGGACTTCAACAACTTGCGGAACGTGCAGAGCGCCCACATTATCCTTACGACTCCAGAGAAATGGGACAGTGTTACCCGCAAATGGAAGGATCACGCTAAACTCATGCAACTTGTCAAGCTCTTCCTTGTTGACGAGGTTCACATTCTCAAAGAAAATCGTGGTGCAACGCTGGAAGCTGTCATCTCACGCATGAAGACCGCCAGTTCGGATGTCCGATTTATCGCCCTCTCTGCAACGGTGCCCAACTCAGAAGACATTGCCGCATGGCTAGGTAAAAGTCCTGCATCGCAGAACTTGCCAGCACATAGGGAGGTCTTTGGTGAAAGCTTTCGCCCTGTGGTCCTCAAGAAATATGTGTATGGCTTCGAAGCAAGATGCAATGATTTCGCTTTCGAAACAGTGTTGAATAAGCAGTAAGGTGACCATGGGCACGTGGTTGACTTCACTTACGTTTCTTAGGATACCAGGTGTTATATCGAAGCATGGACAAGGGAAGCCAATCATGATTTTTTGCCCAACGAGAAAAGGATCTATGGCCACAGCAAAGATGTTGGCGGATTTATGGACCAGTTCACACCCTTCCCAGCGTCTGTGGAGTGGACCGGAGAAATTGTCACCATTTTCGAACTCTGATCTGAAGGGTATGTGTCCCCTGGCCGATCCGTGGATCCCTTGACTTCTGACGTTCATGGAATAGTCATATCCTCGGCTGGTGTTGCTTTTCACCACGGAGGCCTAAGCGTGGAAGATCGCCGTGGAGTTGAACAAGACTTCTTGCATGGACAGATCAACATCATATGCTGCACGTCAACCTTGGCCGTCGGGGTGAACTTACCTTGTTATTTGGTGATCCTGAAAGGAACCACTGCATGGATTGCTAATATGTATCAAGAATATGCTGATCTCGAGGTTATGCAGATGCTGGGCAGAGCTGGTCGTCCGCAGTTCGAGACTTCGGCGTGCGCCGTTATCCTCACACGACAGAACAAGGTTTCCCACTACGAGCGGATGACTTCCGGAGAGGAGGTGCTCGAAAGTTGTCTCCACCAAAATCTTATTGAACATCTCAACGCTGAAATTTGCCTGGGTACTGTTCAGGATATGGGGACAGCCAAAAAGTGGCTTGCGAGTACATTTCTCTATATCCGCATGCAGAAAAATCCCTCGCATTACCGCTTCAAGGAAGGAATCGATCAAGTTGCCAATGAGGACGAAATGCTGGAGCAACTTTGCAAGAAGGACATCTCACTACTGCATGACGCCGGCATTATCAACATACATCCTCACTTCAGCTCCACCGAATATGGGCAAGCAATGGCACGATATTATGTCAGTTTCGAGACAATGAAATCGTTCATGGCTTTGCCGCCCAAGGCCAAGACTTCTGAAATAGTATGTAAGTTTCGGGTCAAGAGGAACTGTCCACTAACAGCGGACAGCTCTCTATTTTGGCACAGGCAAGAGAGTTCCGCGACGTCCGGATGCAAGCTGGCGAGAAATCGTTTTACAAGGAAATCAATCAAGCCCCCGAGATCAGATTTCCTATCAAAGTTGACGTTGCCCAGCAAGCACATAAAGTCTCGCTTCTGATACAGGCGGAGCTGGGAAGCATCACGTCACCTGACGGAGATATTAATAGGAAGCACCACCAACAGCACAGACATGACATATCTGTCGTATTCGCCCACGCGAACCGTCTAATCCGGTGTTTGATCGACTGTCAAGTACACATGAAAGACGCAGTTTCAGCACGGCATGCTCTGGAGCTTGGTCGCAGTCTTGCGGCTCATGTCTGGGACAATACTGCCAGTCAATTGAGACAGATCGAAGGCCTCGGCGAAGTCGCGGTTCGGAAATTAGCATCGGCCACCATCAACAGTATCGACACATTGATCAATACTGAGCCTTCTCGGCTTGAGCTCGTGCTTGGAAAGAACCCGCCGTTCGGCCGGGATCTCCTCAAGAAGCTAGAGACTTTTCCAAACCTGAGAGTTTCCGTCAAAGAGACAGGAAGAGAACTCCGGGCTGGATGGGGAGTGACCATCAGCTTCATGGCAGAACTCGGGTTTCTGAATGTTAGACCACCGAAGCCTACCAAAAAGCACCAGCAGCTCTCTGTGTGCTTCTTAACAGAAACCTCAAATGGTGACCTCGTGGATTACCGGATGTTCGCTGCCAGAAGCCTAGCGAATGGCGGCGAGATCCCGTTGACTGTACTTCTCACGAAACCCACCACTCATCTGACTTGTTATGTGATGTGTGCGGAGGTGGCTGGTACTAGCAAGTATGCTGAGCTACGGCTCTCTGGAATTCCGGCCTCGATTTACCCAAGTCTGCAACCAGGCAGCGTCGACACCGGTCTTACAAACCACAAAGATGGCAGCCTCGAAGATGCAGCTTGGGACGACGAATTTGACGATGGTGGGGTCAACGACCAGGATCTCCTATCGGTTGAGGCTCGTGGGGATGAGATCGAGGTCATAGAAGATATTGACGCTCTTCTAGAGGAGCAAAGCCAGAAGAATCGGTTTGACAACTCCAAGGAATCTTCAACCTCCCCGCGCAAGCCGAGAGAAGAGCACGATGAAGACGCCGATGTCACCGTGTACAAGGAACCGACACGGTTACGCAATGGACGGTGGACGTGTCAGCACGATTGTAGGGAGCGCAACAGGAAATGCAAACACAAGTGCTGTGCCGAGGGGGTGGCGAAGCCTCGACGCCGTGCTAAAGGGGAATCGAAGTCCCATGTGGAACAAAAGGTACAAACCAAGTTGACCAGTGCGACAACGCGAGACTCGAAGACGGCAACTGTCACGCGAATCCCAAGAACCACGGGGCACTCACGTCAGCCAGAACAGCCGAAACCAAGAGTTGCCAGTGAGGTGATTTCCATGCCGGCGAGGAGACGCTCTAAGGAACCTCCATCCAAGAGGAGGAAGATATCGACTGATCAGAAGCTGGAAGACGCTTTCCTTGAACCATCGAATGGTACCCGTCAGGACGATAGCACATCGGAATGCAATCCGGTTGTCGACTCGTCACACAACGAAGAGTCTCTGTCAGGCGGTCCAGACGCTACCTTCAAAAAGACTGATGCTGATCTTTTTGACTTCGGAAGCGATGTCGCAGACGAAGTCCGTGCAAACCAGTCAACCCTGGATAAGATCGACGTTGTTAACGAGGAGAATCCAGCACTGCCGAATCCGGTTGGTGGGGACTGGTTGGATGAATATCCGTTTTCTGCCTTTTCGACTTCTGATTTTGATCTCGGAGGATTCGAGCCGCCACTGGAACATGTTGCCATGTCTGATGTAATCAAGCCTCACCAAGGGCTTTTTGTCACCGGGCTCAGCAGCAGCCCTGTCAAAAGTCCTATTCACTGTGCCGAGCAGCTCAACCAAGGAAGCGATCATCTTGATGCGATGGCAGATCACGAGCCTGTGGCTTCTGGCTCAGTGCAAGAGAAAGCAGATGTCGCCAGCCTTGTTCCGCAGCACAAGGAACCAACAGAGTCTGACATCAACACTCCCACGGAAACCAATCCAAAAACTCCAGAAGCGGTGGAACTAACCACCACTACAGCGGATGATCACTCCATACCAATTGCCCTTGAGGAGGACCAAGCCGAGCGCGAACGACGGTTGTACGAGGAGGATCAAAAGAAGAAGTGGGAGGGCATTGATGAATGGATTTATGATGCATTTCATGAGTATGTCGAGCTCATTTGAGCAGCAACGTATGAGGCTAGATGTGTACCTAGGTACTGAGGCGCAGGCTGGAAGGCATGGCCAGCAGTATCATGCCGGCACAGAAGACATTGCACCAGTAAGGCCTACACCAAAATCATGCTCCTGAAATGTTAAAGGGTTCAGAAAGGCGCATGGAGATTTATCATGGGGAAACTGTTGCAAGGTCAGATTTGTTGCCGGGATTGATGCTGGTGAATGTGCTCGCAAGAAAGAGAGAAAAATCATATGCATTTAGCTTGCGTATTTTCTGACGGATCATCACTCAACTGATCATGAGGAGATTGTAGACGATGTTCGTCGAGATTGCATCTTTATCGGCGGTAAAAGCTATGCGATCGCATGGCCTGCAGAGAAGAGCTCTGCCGCTTTCATGAGCGTACAACGTACGCCCCGTCATTTCGGCAAAAGAATATGAGAGAGGGTCAGGCTTCTGCATCTTGTGCCTTTCCAGACTGTTAAGAATCCTCATGACTCTCTCATTCACCTGCAACCAATTTCAGGCAGGCTGCCACCTTGCAACTTGAGTAGAACGCGTTCACCACTGCAGTCTGGCGCGACTATTTTCGTACGCACCATTGGGAACGAATGTGGGTCGTGGTGGCTGAGTCGATGTGGGAGATTGAAGATGAACTCCTGACTCCTGAGCGTATCCTCCACACTTACAGACACCGCACTGGCTGTTGATCAGCAACAGCGAAAGAGACACTCACGGGGTGCTCCTTACCGTCCTTTTTATTCTTGCTCGATAGCTGTACTCTGGCTGTGCGAGGCTGTCGTGCGGCCGCTGGGCAGCGGCAGAGACTTGAAATTGACGCGTGGCCATTGGCCCGATTGGGATAACGACATCTGCAATGCGGAATATTAACGGAAGCTTGTTTCTCCGCTGCAGCCATTTCTTTGCGGCCTAGTGCACGACTAGTCCCAATACGGAAGCACCAGAATCGTCTCTATCGCAGCCTCAGCTTCAAGCCGACTCTCTTCCGTCTACCCTGACTCCCCCCTCGAGATCCCAAGCTGAGTGAAGCTGAAGGGACTCGACCCGCAAAGGCTGGCTTGGGCCAGTTGTGCATGCAGCAACCATGCTGCTGAAGCCCAAGGGGGATGCGGGTGACAACCAGACGAACGACGATGTGCGCGGCCTTCGCAAAAGCCGAGCTCAAAGCCCTTGGACATGGCGACCTCTCACGCTCGTTACCACGGCCATTGCGCTGTTGTTTCTCTCTCTCATCCTTCGGTCGTCGCTGAAACACCAGGTTGACCCTCAAGGATGTATCATGTCCATGATGAGCCCGACATACATCAAACTTTCCGGCTTCGATACCGAACACTCGCGCTTCGCAACCAAGTACTCGCTGTATTTGTATCGGGAAGAGGGGGTTGACGAATACACACAAGACAATATAGGATTGAGGGGGGCGCCTGTTTTGTTTATCCCAGGAAATGCCGGCAGTTATAAGCAAGTGCGGTCTCTCTCATCCGAAGCTTCCAGACATTATCACAACGTGCTGCGACATGATGCGAATGCGATCAAGGGAGGGGTGCGGCCTCTAGACTTCTTCACGATTGACTTCAACGAGGATCTATCCGCTTTCCATGGCCAGACGCTGCTGGATCAGGCAGAGTATGTGAATGAGGCTGTTGCATATATCTTGTCTCTGTACCATGACGCAAACCGACTACGGCGGGACCCTCAACTACCCGACCCGAGCGCTGTTATTCTCATCGGACATTCAATGGGTGGAATTGTTGCGCGGACGGTTCTTGCGACACCGAAATATCAGGCCAACTCGGTCAATACCATCATTACAATGTCAACTCCTCATGCGCGGCCACCAGTCACCTTCGATGCCGATGTCGTTACCTTGTATCAACAAGTCAACAAATACTGGCGAGATTCGTATTTGCAGAGATGGGCCAGCAACAACCCGCTGTGGCATACCACACTGATCTCCATCGCAGGAGGAGGGCGAGATACCACTGTTCCCTCGGACTATACGAACATCGCCTCCTTAGTCCCCGAGAGCCACGGATTCACCGTCTTCACCTCGACCATTCCCAATGTTTGGACTTCTATGGATCATCTGGCTATCACTTGGGCCGATCAGGTGCGCAAAGTCGTCATCAGGTCGTTGTATGATGTTGTGGACGTCCGCCGCGCGGGCCAAACCAAGCCCCGTTCGGAAAGGATGAAGGTGTTCAGGAAGTGGTTCTTGACTGGCCTCGAAGACGACGCTCCTAAGGCACTGCGAGAGACCAACCATGACGTTCTGCTCACGCTAGGTGACGGCTCAAGATCTTCGACGGGCAAGAAGGACAACGTGACTCTGCGCCAGCTCGGTGCGCAAGACCAAATGTCCGCGACTTTGCTGCCGATCCCTTCCGTGGACAACTCGACGTCGAGAAGATTTTCTTTCCTCACAGATCAACAAATTGACCCGCAGGGCAGTTTCGAGAAGCTTGAAGTGTTGTTTTGCAGTGCGTTCCCACTTACTGGAGGCCTGACTTCCATGCCGCTCCCTGTGCAAATCGATCTCTCCCCCGGAGATCCTAGCGCAACACGACTGGCATGCAAAAGACCCGCCAAAGACGGCATCCTCCTGCCTGCCTCAACCAGGACATCACAATATGCATTCGAGCAGCGTCCTCCTTTCAACTACTTGGAGTATGATGTTCGAGATCTTCAGGATCACCAGTTTGTGGCTGTCGTGGACAAATCCGTGGAAATCAGCAATGGGTGGGCATATGGCGAAGTAATATCAACTGCCGATTCAGTCATTCAGAATGATGTCAGCCTTGCCATGCTACTGCTTCGCGGCGTCAACGTGGAGCTTCCTCCCAACAGACCCCTTGTGACTGAAGTGCGTATTCCATCGCTTCGGTCGAGTTTACTGGCTTATAAACTCGACCTCCGACAACACGGTTGTGGAGCCGATGCCGAGCTGTTCACTCCTTTAGTGAGGCAACATATCGACAATCCCTACGAGTCCAAGTATTTTGTCAATTTCAAACAAGGAGAAGTTAATCTTCATGGAGTTGCACCCTTTATGCCGCCCTCTCTAGATGGTCGTGAACCGAAATCTGGAGTCGCCTTCCAGATCTGGTCCGACCCAACCTGCAATTCTTCTTTGGAGATACGACTGCGGGCAGATCCTATCGGTAGTCTAGGCAAACTTGTTGTCAGATATCGCACTGTTTTCGCGGCCTTTCCTTTGCTGGTGGTGGCTATGGTGCTCCGCAAGCAATTTAGGGTCTACGACAATTCAGGCATCTTCATCTCATTCACCGAAAGCCTCGACCAGAGTCTGCGACTCCCGCTACCAGTCATATTGCTGTCCATGACGTTCTTTGCCACCGCCTTCACGACGGCCAGTTCTGCCAGCGTTGGATCAGACGTTCCCCCACACACCAATGGAACGAGCATCAACTTTAATCAAAACGATCTTCTGTTGGGTTCACAAGATACGTTTTTCTGGTTTCTTGTTCCCTTGGCGGGGCTGCTCAGCATTGGCGCTTGTGTGGTGTTGAACTATGCAGTGTTGGCGCTGTTGCAGTTCATTGTCATCGTCTCCAATCTGGTATCACAACGATACGTCAAGATTGATGACAGCGAGAAAGGGATTGCCTCAGCCTTTGTCGCCAGTACTCCTCGAAGGAGGGCGATCAACACCGCGGTGCTTTTGTTTCTTGTCGCCACCATCATACCATACCCCTTTGCTTATGTGGTGGCCTGTATCGTGCAGCTTACAACGTGTTCACGAGCGTTGCGTCGTGCCATGGAATCCAAATCCGGGCCGGCTCTCAATTTCTTCAATTACACCTACTCAATACTCATATTAATGCTTTGGGTCCTGCCCATCAACCTGCCGGTCCTTGTGGTGTGGATCCACAATCTGTCGGTCCACTGGTTGACGCCCTTCTCGTCCCATCACAACGTCTTGTCGATCATGCCGTTTATCTTGTTGGTGGAGACCGTCTCCAGCGGAATGATGGTCCCTGCTGTGAGGTCGTTCAGATGGGCCACGAATATCTTGTTTTTTGTTCTCGCGGTTTATGCGGCGTTGTACGGTATGACATACGCCTACAGATTACACTACATTGCGAACATCATCGCCCTGTGGTTGGTTCTCTTGCACTTTTCAACCTATCAGCGGCGGATTTCCACATAGAGTTCACGAGAAGGGATTATCCTGTGTCCAATTATAATCAGCATAAGACCTAGAAGGGATGTTTGGGGGTCCACAATCTGCCGGATTCATACTGCTGCAGCCCTGGTGATACCGGCGCATTTGCATTATTGGTGCAGCTGTTCTCAAGAGGGAGGCTGATTCATAAATTCGAAGTCGAGTTCACTGATGTGCCATGTCTCTTGGAGGACACATCTAGTGTCTGGCGCAAGATGTACTTTTACTAAGAATTGGAACAACAACGACTGTCGAACCGAGCGAATGGGGCTCCATGCCTAACCGGGGTCTTTGGTCTTCCTATGCAAATGGATCATTGTCTACAGTAACCGATTGTGCCGAACAAAATCTCTCTCTGTCCCTCTGTCTCTTCTTTCTTTTCGCTTTGTACATACTACCGGTCCAGCCTGGGCGGAAATGGATATAGAAACCTCGCCTAATGTACATTAATTCAATGTCTTCAGGAACGCCCTTGACATAAGGTCCCATGGGGCCGGGGCCTCTGATCTGTACAGACGTCTCCTACTATCTGAAACTGAAAAGGGAAAGAACGTGGTCAGTACAACTGTTGGTGACACTGCCACGAGCCCCTGCTATCATCATTCGAGAATCGATCCTTCCCAACGTTGGGTCGATACGTCTACCATCATCATCCATACGGATCGAATTTTGGCTCATTGAAAAAAGAAATTCGATGGGTTGAGTCCATTCCATCCGGGTCGCACCAGGATGGTTGTCTGTCAACGACTGACTACAGTATTGATATGATTTGCATTGCTAGCAGTAAATCATTACGACTTGAGAGCATCCGCACCCTTTCTCTCATGTTCACCAACCATGACCATGAACAAGCAAAACCACGTGTTCCTCTTCGTGTCTTTCATGCTTTTACTGCTGGCGAGAACATCACTACAACAGCAGAACTCCTCGACCCAGGACACCACCCCCTTGGCTTTCACGCTCGACGAAAACGCACCCAATGGCCCTAAAGACGGGCTGTATCTCGGAATCAGCTTGGCGTCACTACTGGGCGTGCTTTTGTTTGGGCTGATCATACGGAGGTTGTATGAAAAGTGGCTGAAGCGGCGACAGAGACAGAGTAAGTAACAGCCTTTCTTGTATCCTTCTGGGGATTCACATGGGACGCCCCAGCTGAGAGATGGAAACTCTTCCAGAAGCGATGGCAGCTGTAGCGGATGGGCTTGCCATGAGCACGATTCGAACCCTTGGGGAAGTACGGTCACCGTCGTTGATGTCGCCAAGTGTTCTCACGATGCCGTCCACTCGTGAGAGCGAAGAGCTTCAGGCCGAGATATATCGAGAAATGGCCGACAGGCTTGTGCGAGGCCTCGATCCGATTCCGATTCCTTCTGCCAGTGCCAGAGCCAGAGCCACCACTTCGCCGAAGCCTACTACGGCGAGGTTACCAGCACATGGCAAACTCAGTCCACCTCCGCCCCGGAGGTTACGTCCGTCGCAGTCTCAGAGGAGCAATGCTAGCGCAAATACAACGATTCGGAGAGTACAATCTCATGGTCAGCATTTACATTCTCATCATAGTCAGCAGCTTCAGCAGTCGGATGGAATTGGACTCAGAGCTCCCGGGAGTCCTGGGAGTGTTCGTGTCCGTCCAACACATTCTCATTCCGCCCGCCAGTATCCGAGTTTGTATGGTGCGTTGGCTGGCCCTCCTAGTGTAGGAGGACGTTGAATTGGGATGTACAGTATGGTATGGATACTGTGCTTAGGCATGCAAATAAGGGCTTGGAAGGTGGGGATCCGGCCCTATTGAAAAGGAGGATCGGGGGTCAGTTACGAATAGTTTTCGTTGGGCCGGTCCAACCTCCATTTTACAGTCTTTCCGACTCGTGGCTTACTCGGTATGCTGTGGCTCGGTGCGATGCCAACTTCGCCAGATGAGATAACGGGGCAACACCGGATTGGGAGTCTTGGGCCAGGTGTTTGGATGGCTGGCCATGAGTCGGCTTAGACTCAGCAGGAGAAAGAGGAAGTTGTCACTTGGTTATTGTTTGCGTCGAGACGCCCAGCACCCTTTCATTGTTGGTTTCTGTATTGTTCATGATGCTGGAAGTCGAGACAGGCGGTAGAAAAACGTGGGGCTATATTGCTATTGCTTTCAACTTTGCACAGAGCCCCTGTTTCTGGAGGCATGCGAACCCCGTCCAAGATGGATCCGGTCTCGGTTGTCTTACAGCGCTGGAGTTGACACAGAAAGGGTTCCAGGGTGGACTTGAGGATCGAGACAGTGGTTGTGGGTGGACGGCTATCAGATGTCTAGGTGCATAGGTATCAAAGGAGTTGCTGTCTGTGAGCTCAACGGAGTTCAGTGCTATGTTCACATGGTTGTTTGACAAAGGGAGGTCATTGCGACAGGACCCATCAAACACTAGTGTGGGCACGACTGAATGTCGCAGCATCGCAGGTTTGCTTTGGGTATTCTTGGTATCATCGACAAACTTTGGAAGAAACTGAGGGAGGGTCACTTACAGGTTCAACTTGACAATGAGAGGGCTTCACTTGCGAAGACTCGCAGTGAAGTCTACGTCGTCTGTCTGTCGCAGCCTCGCAGGTCGCAGGTCGCAGGCCGTCTTTTCTCTTTCGCTTCTATTAGTAGTACCTTAGGTACTTACTATACTATTATATCCTCCTTTGCTGCCACTGCTAGTACTACCGATCTCACACTACGCGTCTTTGCTGTCGCGGTGCCGTCGCTGTGCTATGCTGGCTTTTTCGACGGAACGCGAGTTCATCAACTAGCTATATTATCAACGGCATTATCAACAGCATCAACGACAAAAGAGAAGAACTTGAAGCGACAATGCCTGTACCAATAGCGGTAACCACACTGTCGTCGGCGCCATGGGTCCCAGTTCTAGAACTACCTTTTCAGACAAATGCGACAAGGCCTCAACCTCCTAATCCGTCTGCGTCTTACGCACTCCCATTCCCACACCCACCTTTCCAACCTCAACACCAACATGGACGTGCGCTGTCTACAGGATTCTGGATCGGCGTCGCAATATTCATACTTTTTGTCATCGCCTGTTTCGCACGATACTCGTACCTCGCGTCACCATTCTGGTTTTACAATCTTAAGCGAACCTGCTGGTTAGCGGCGCGCAGGCTGCGCAGGCTGCGCAGGCGACAAGATAATGACGATCCACTCGGCAGGCTGCCGCTGTATATTAGTGCAGCTGGTCCTGGTCATGGTCTTCATGCAGGTAGAAGGTTCAGAGGTACTGTGTACAGTGACATCATTGCGAGACCGCAACCAGCGTACTTTGCAGGTGGGTATGGTCTCAGGTCAACGGATACCTTGCCGGTGTATCGGCCGCCGACGATGAATTTCAGCAGCGATGTGCTCCAGGCGCTGTTGAGTTTGGATTCGGATATGGATATCGGGCGATTTGAAGAGAGAAATAATGGTGGGCGTCGGCCGCCGTCGTATAGGTCGAGATCGAGGTTGTCGTTGGTGTTGAATGCGATGGAGACTCAAAATCAGGGGCATAACGAACAACAATCACAGCAGCAGCAAGACCAACACCAACAGCAATTTCAGGGAGATGCGGCTGTGCAGAATGGGAAGCAGATGAAAGAACGAGAACATGAACAGAAAGAGGAAGAGGATAAGCGACCGAAAGAGCAACAACAACATAAAAACGAAAAGAAAGGGAATCAAGAGCGCAAGGGCACAGCTGAAGGCGAAAATGTAATGGAAAGGGAAAGTGATGAGCATGAAGATGAGCATGACGATGCTGATGGTGATGCTGGAAGAAAAGATCGAAAAGAAAATCCCTTCTCCTGAGATAATATGTCCACCAGGACGCGTGCATGAATCGGCATGGTGGGTGGGACGGATGGCATAGATTGAACTGCGATGCGCTGGGGTTTTCTACTACCAACCAGAGTCAGGGACGGAACAAGGAGGTCCTGGAATCACCATAGCCCTTAATATGGTCGTCATGCGATCGAAACCAAGTAGGTTTGAAGGGTCGAGTTTCGGCAGACATAGGAAAGATAAACGACCTTTGACTTCTCTTTGCCGGGTGGAAGAATACATGCACAAGCAAGGACATGTCGACCGACTGGCCAGCCATCCATCCGTAGATGGTCTCCTGCACGGAGCTGCCTTCCGAAGTCAGAAGAGTGGTGCAAGATAGAGAACGATGAAATGGTACTATATGTGCTATACTTCACGGCGAAGGAGAAGTCAGAAGTAAGCATGAGGTGTTTCGGGCAACCTGCCCCAGTTCCCCGCAGTTGAGGGTCATTTAAGAAATATAGATCGAACCCTGAAAAGCTTAAACGCTCTCTCTGGGCTTGGCATCACATTGAGTATTGATTGGGCGTCAGCAAGTTTCTCCGTCTCCACGCTTCGTGGCCTGAGTAATGGGACACTAGCGGTACTAGCAACTGTACCTAGGTACTTTTACTGCTGCTAGGAGTGGCTAGTAGTATTATTACCATCAGTGCTAACAATGCTAATAAATGCTGTCGTGTGCATCATTTGGATTCTGCTCCGCTCCGCATGTCGCACAACGCCGTTGAACGAGCCTCCACCGTCTGAGGTTCCCAGTCGATCCGCCATTCCATCCAACGTACAATATACTTAAATATACCAATGTAGAGGAGTGTTTTTATCTGTCTGTTCTCCCTCTCTGATCAGCGTGGGTCGAGCTCCATTCTTGAATTTACAACACCATGAGTCCTCCGGACACGCCGGCCTTGTCGCCCATCCGAACCTTGAACCGACCCTCCCTTCGAACACCTGCACCTGTCGAATCGCATACCCACAGTCACAATCACTCCTCCTCTCCGTTTCTACATAATTTGACCCAGCGTCTACGTAAAGGTTCCAATGCAAGCTCGCACAGCGGTGAACACCCATCACCACTTTCCGCTACGGGTCCATTGTCACCGCCGCCGATGGCGGCCGATCCAGTGAAGAAAACAGAGTCATCTCGAGCAGCAAGGCGGATGCTGTTTTCTCTAATAAGAGACGATTGGGAATATCCGTCGACCAACGTCACAGAAGGCGAGGATGAGACAACCCCTGGACCTGTGCCTGCGCGCGTGCCGATCGGATTCCGATTGCGCGAAGTCGCACAGTCCGACATTGAGATCGAGGAAGGGGTGCTCTCCAAGCGTGGGCTGCGGCCAAGTAACAACAGAACGGCATCCAGCTCGACGAATCCGTACAAGTTTGAGAGTCCGGACGCTGTGGGCGATTTCGTGGCACAACGGTTGCGGAGGAGACGTCGGCTGCTGGAGGAAGAGATGAAATGGAATGAAGGCTTGAGGATATGGACCCAGCGCCGGGACGCTTGGACAGGTGCCGTCAAACACAAACCGATCACGTTGGACGCTGGAACTATTCCAAGCAGTAACACCGGATCGACTTCAGCCACTGCTGTTGCAGCTACGAATAAGCACCACGCGCACAAATCTTCGTTCTGGCACCCGCATTTACATATACCGGGTCACGAACATCATCACCACAGCTCCGAACCAGAACCCCATGATGATGATGCCACCCATGGGGACAAGGACAATCCTACCGGGCCACACCAGGCATATCAGCCATCGCCTAACTCGGACCACTCGGATCCAAACTCGCACGCCAACTCCAATTCCAATGCGACACCTTCACCGCAGTCACCTTCTATGGATAACAGTAACAGCAATGGCAACAGTAACAACACTAGTAATAACCCTCCGTCCGACCCGAACAACACAGACGAAATCCACCCAGGCGAGCCCGGAAGCGGGCCATGGATCCCCATCTATCCGCCACTACTGCCTCAAGAAGATGTGCTTCGCGACCGCATTAAGCCGCAAGCCTACCCTACGATCTATAGCAAAGTCGTGGTCCAGTCGATGACGCCCAACGTGCCCATCCCGCTCAAGCACATGATCCCTGCCCTGGTGGAAGGCTGGAAAGCCGAGGGTAGCTGGCCGCCTCAGCCGGCAGCTGTTGCTGCCCAAGATGTTAAAAAGGGGAGACGATCGTCTGCGTTTGCCAAATGGAGACGAGAGCACCATTTCGACTCAAAGGCCGCCGAACATCATGCCGGGGTGGTCAATGAGGATGGCAAATCTCGAGTCAGGCGCAGCATAGGCATGATGAGGAAAGTTCTGGGCGGAGTAGGTACAGGTAATGATGATGACGACGGAGGTCTGGGCGAATTGGGGTTCGAGTTCCGTGAGCAGGATGAGGAGGAGGCGCTGAAGAACGTCACGTTGAACACGGGCAACTTGAAGCAAGGCGATGGACCCGGACAACGTGACGGCAACGCCAACGCCAACGCCAACGCCGCCGGCGCCGAGGATCGAGGAGCATAGAATGACCTGAAAGTGCTGCTCAGACCAAAGTGTGGATGGATGTCCTGTTGGTGACTATTAAGCTAATGTAAATTGCCCCAAGGTGTCCATGGGGTGTCTGCTGTCCCGTGAAAGTGGATATGTACTGTACTGTATCCCAGATGCTAGAGTCTCTCTGGTTAACTACCACGTGTCAATGCATCGATTCACTGGGCCGGGGTCGACGGTTGCTGGATGCCCACTATGATTTCTCGATCGATTAACTACCTTACTATTCGTATCTGGGAGATCTCGGACATGTGCGTAGATGATATCTATCAACCGTGGCCGTGGAGGTGGAGGAGAGCGCGCGGAACAAGACCCTTTCTACAGATTCGCCTTTTCCTCTGGACGCTCGTTCTCACACATATGTACCTATACTAGTATCCCTATCTAGAAATGACAGACACAGATCCCGGGTTCATTGCTGCACTTGAAGAAGCGAAGCAGGGGTTGGCGGAGGGAGGGGTACCGATTGGTATGTAGCTTATCTCTACAGCAAGCACCTACATACCTTTATCGCTGGCCTTAAAGATGCCAGTCCCCGCAACGAATGCTGACATCCAGATGTTATGTCTACCCAGGAGCATGCCTCGTATCCAAAGACGGCAAAGTCCTCGGTCGCGGACATAATATGCGTGTGCAAAAGGGCAGCGCGACTCTTCATGTAAGTAACCATTCACAATACATGCATAGCTAGGTCCAGTACATATATTGCGAGTCTACTATTTGTTTACATGTGTTCTCATCAGCTCTCCTATCTTACTGCAGGGCGAGATCTCGGCCCTCGAAAACTCCGGCCGTCTACCGGCATCAGCATACGCTGGAGCCACAATGTACACGACGCTCAGTCCCTGTGACATGTGTACGGGTGCTTGTCTGCTGTACAAAGTGGGCCGGGTGGTGATTGGGGAGAACAAGACGTTCATGGGGGGCGAAGAGTACTTGAAACAGAGGGGTGTCGAGGTGGTTGTGCTGGAGAGCCGCGAGTGTGAGGAGCTCATGAGAGTGTTTATTGAGGAGAAGCCTCGTGTGTGGTATGTTCAAGTCCTAGTTTCTCTCGTCGACTCTCACTGCCAGTGCATCTTTGAGCTTTAGGTTCTGTCCTGCCAGTGGCTCTTTGTTTTCTTCCCTGAGAGGCCTCTCACTCAGTGTGTGTTTTGTTCTTATTGCATGCTGTGCTATGCCTTCCCCGCAATGTCCGCCCTGATCCTCCCTGGGTGGCAACGGCTGTCCTTCCACCCTTCTTTGTTTATCAATCCCCGCTGATATTAGTCGCGAGCAGGAATGAAGATATTGGCGAGGAATGAGAACAAATCTCGCTTTTAGTACCACGTGTATAAATCTTTCTTCTATCAAACAGTTTAGCCGGCTCATGTCGTACATCTATGAACCTCCTCAAAGAAAAACTTGAGGTTGTCAGGATTGACACCAGGGGTGATTCCATGGCCGAGGTTGACGATCCAGCGCTGTTTCCCTCCGCCAAAGCCCCGGACCATGTTCTCGACCACGGCCGTGATCGCTTCATGGGAGCCGTATAGAACACCAGGGTCCGCATTGCCTTGCAACGTCACTCGGCCTCGAGCGATCTTGACAGCTTCCGCCGGGTCGTGCAGCCAGTCGAGCCCGACGACGTCGTAGCCTGAATCGCACAGTTCGTCCAGAGCATACCAGGCGCCCTTTGCGAAGACGACCATAGGGACAACATCTTCACCCATCTCGCGTAGCCGCTTTGGCAGATTCGTTGAAATGTATTTGAGCCAAGGTAAAGCGAATTCCCTGAACGAGGCGGGCGAGAGTTCTCCAGCCCACGAGTCGAAGACTTGGACAATCTGTGCCCCGGCGGCAACCTGCAACGCCAGATGCTCGACACAGACCTCCGAGATCTTCTGTAGCAATGCCTGGCTCTCCTTTTGGTACTTGTAGATCCACGTCTTTGCTTCTCGAAACAGCTTGGTGCCTCCGCCCTCTACCATGTAGCACAGCAGAGTCCAGGGAGCGCCGCAGAATCCGTACAAGGGCACTCGCCCGGCCAGCTTGGTCCGGGTCAGCGTAATAGCTTTATATACGTAGCCCAGCTCTTTGGCCACGTCCACATCTCGCTCGAGAACCTCTTTGTATTGTTTATCGGCCGGCGACCGGAGAGGCTCGGGGAATTTGGGTCCAACTCCGTCCACCATCTGTACGTCCATGCCTAGTGCCTGCGGAATCACCAGGATATCGGAGAATATGATGGCGGCGTCAATCAGACCCTCGTACCGATCGATCGGCTGCAGTGTCAGGGTCGACGCAATCTCGGGCGACCGGCAGCATTCGAAGAAGTCGTGGTTCCCTTTCGCTTCGTGGTATTCGGGGAGGTACCGACCGGCTGAGAAATGGTCAGGACATTATTGTCTTTCCTAATGAGAGAGGCGCCTGCTCAAACCCAAGGCACTGTGGTCGTTGCATACCTTGTCGCATCACCCACATGGGCGGTCGGTCGACTTGCTCGCCTGTTCTCAGGATGTTCAGTTCACTGGCCCGCCAAAAGATGCTGGCTTATAGTATGCCCATCATCGTGTGTCTTGACGCACCGCGGGCCGCCCGGAGAAGTCGGTCATTTTTCAGAGGCGGAAAGTCGTGGGGCATGATGCCAGGCGCTCGCGCTGCGAGAAGAAAAGGGAGAGGCAGGTGAGGGAATAGTACAAGATGCGTACTATGGTCGAGACAATGCGTTCAGTGCTTGGACAGAACGGAATTCAATTCGACCTTCAAGTTGGACCGACACTGGCAGTTTGTTTGTCAGAAACAGCGTGGGGAGTAGGTAGTGACGAGAACCGCTCGCTCCCGGCCGAATGTGGATCCGAGTCCGACCACTTCAATCGCTAACAGTACCAGCAGGAAAATATATAGATTTGATGGACTATAGATTGAAGTACATCCCTCGCTATGTCTGAAGACGATCTTATATTCTACAGTATTGGACGTTGCAGGATTACACCAAATTCGGCCTTATGGCAGTCAAATCGGTCTCATTCAAGTCGACCGTCATCAACGTCTCATTAAGCACCCTCTTCTGTAGCTGTTGGTATCTCGTCGCCGCCTTCCAAGTTTCCCGCGTCAGGTTCGCCTTCGGCTTCGGCATCCTCCTCTTGGGCCTGCAACCCTCTCTTCTTCCGAAGATTTTCCAGACCGTATAGACTCTCTCCCAGAGGACTGTACACACTGTGGGTTTTGGGTGGTGCTTCCAATGAAACCTCTTGCGTCTTGCAACTCGAAGCTGCCTCATTCAGAAGCATTGCCAAGCTCGTCCTCTCCCAGCGCAGTTCAGGCTCGTCGCGGTTCTCGGACTGAACTAACCCGGCCTCGTCCACAGTCAAGTTCGAGAATAACTCGAAGGTCTCAAAGAACTCGGTTGCAGGAGTTTCTTCAGGGCGGACAATCTTCATAGAGCCAGGCTTGTGCACCGTATCGATACTGACCACGATATCCCATAGAGCAGGCCCAATGCCGACATCCAATACATTTCCACCTAGTGTCAGGGTTTGATGGTGAACCAGCTGACCTGCCGCTGTGAGGCTGTAGCTCAGGAGGAGTGGAAGTCTGGATGTGTATGGCGTGGTTAGCATTTTCCAATGCAAAGAAATGGAACGGGCTTACCCTTCGAACGCGACTAGCAAAACGTGGGGAGGATGACGAGAACGTGGCGAGTTACCAGCCACCGTGTAATGTACGGGCCAGATGCCGGAAACAACAAGGCGGTCTAGTGAACGCTCGCCGTCGTCCATGCTCAGCGCACTGGTGATATCCTGTTGCACAGCTCCCTGGAAGAGTTCTTGATCAAGTAAACGCGCCGTTTGGAAATGATAGACTTTTAACGACGGCTCTGCGCTACCTGCCACCAGGAACTCGGGGTTCCATGGTGTCACACATAGTTTGTTCACAAAGTCCCGATGCCCCAAGCAATAGTTCTCAATGATGTGAGCCTGGGTGATGCCCCGGGAGACACGAATATGTTCATCCCGATCCGCGCTCAGAATATACTGCTTTCGTTTCATTCCATCCTGGACTTCGGCGATGGCTACGTCGGTCAGAAGTGAAACGTGACCCAGTAGAAGTTTCACCTGGAAGTTGGGGCCTTCTTTCTTCGGTTGGGCGGCCTTCTGTTTCTGCTGTTGCCGCAGCGCTTCGAGGTTTCGTTTCGTGTGAACTGTCAGTTCGGACGCTGAGGGACTGAAGGGGCGTGGAGCCTGATTGCTCTCCACCTTCTTCGGCACCGAGCCTTCTATATGGTGTAAAGGTAGCAGATAAACGTCGCCGAACTTGTCCCCAACGATAATATTCTTTTCGTCGGCCGTAAGGACGATCGAAGACACCTTTTTGGGCATTGTCCTAGTTTATGTCAGTATGTGTACTTGTCAAACCACTCAAAAGTTTCGCAGACCTTTGGCTTTGCAAGTCCAGGACTCCGCCAGGTCGTACAGCAAAGACGTTGATTGACTTGTCTGTCGTGGTCACTGCGATGGCCGTGGCTCCGTCACTCGTGACGATGATGTGCGAGACATTGGACAACTGAGGACCCTCCGCTAAAGGTTTCCCCTTTCCTCCTTTTTGGCTGTCGAAGATGATCTCGACGGATTCGTCTGTAGCCTGCCGAGAGAGATCTGCTGGATTCTGCCCCTCGACTCTCCGTCTTTTGACAGGGGGCTCCTCCTGACCGTTAGACGAGGCTGCACCATTGGCCTGGGCCTCTCTTTCCTCTGGCCGAGACCATTGGCTCATAAGTGTCCCATCCTTGAGGTTGAAAGAGCTGATTATGGCCCCCGAAGCTGCCAAGAGGAAAGGTTGTTGGCCATCGATTGGCTGCACACAGCATAACTTTTGAAATGGGTGACGAACCATTTTCAGGAGTTGGGCCTGTTCAAGCTTGGGGTGTACTTTTTATATTGTCGGGTATTTCCCCAGCATTCGACAGAGAATGCTGATACAGCACTCTCACTAACCAGCAACCCCAGTACAGCGGGTTCACACAAGCCCAGATCAATGAGATTAGCACATGAAATCCGGAACCATACAATTGTAGTACTGCCCGGGAGTAGTTGGTAGCCATCCTAGCATGCAGTGCTGGCGAGTCAACTGCATATTCCTGCTAATTGCTCCACCATAGCGCGCGCCAAGACCCAAGATTTCCGCGCACACTGCTCTCCGCATCGCCTCGACCAAATTCGCATGCGCAGGTTCAATCCGTAAACCACACAACCTCACAACAACCTCAACCACTTAATCACACAATCAATTTGCCCTTAAACATCCTAACTTCATACTAAGAAGTCATGGGGGGCAAATCCGGCAGCAAGAGCGTCTACTTCGACAAGCTCAAGACTTTGCTCGACGAGTACAAATCGATCTTCATCGCAAGTCCCCCGACGGCCAAAGGCACGGGCATCTGTTAACGATTTTGCAGGTTGGCGTCGACAATGTCTCTTCACAGCAGATGCACGAGATCCGTCAGGCGCTCCGCGGCGACGCGGTCGTCTTGATGGGCAAGAACACCATGGTCCGCCGTGCTCTCAAGGGTTTCGTTGCTGACAACCCGGAGTACGAGCGTCTGCTCCCTCACGTCAAAGGTACGCTCGACGGTTGGACGTTTCGCAAGTGGCGCGCAGCCCTAACAAACTATCATAGGCAACGTTGGTTTCATCTTCACCAACGGCGACCTGAAGACCATCCGAGACAAGATCCTGGCCAACCGTGTCGCGGCCCCTGCTCGTGCTGGTGCCATTGCGCCCGGTGATGTCTACGTTCCGGCCGGAAACACTGGTATGGAACCTGGCAAGACCTCTTTCTTCCAGGCCCTCGGTGTTCCTACCAAGATTGCTCGTGGTACCATTGAAATTACCACCGACCTGAAGTTGGTTGAGGCTGGCGCCAAAGTCGGTCCCTCCGAAGCCACTCTTCTCAACATGTTGAACATCTCTCCTTTCACCTACGGTATGAAGGTTGTGCAGGTCTATGAGGAGGGTAACACTTTCTCTCCGGATGTGTTGGATGTTGAAGAGAGCCAATTGCTCAAGTCTCTGTCCGCCGCCATTGCCACCATCACTACCATCTCTCTGGCCGCCAACTACCCGACTCTGCCTTCGGTTATGCACAGCTTGATCAACGGCTACAAGAACCTCATCTCTGTTGCCATTGAGATTGACTACAGCTGGGAGGCCATTGACGAGCTCAAGGATCGTATTGCCAACCCTGAAGCTTATGCCGCTGCCGCTCCGGCCGCGGCTGCTGCCACCGAGTCGGCTGCTCCTGAAGCTGCCAAGGAGGAGGAGAAGGAAGAGGAGAAGGAAGAGAGCGAAGACGAGGGTAAGTCCAGACCTGAAATTTGGGTATGTGGCAGATTTCCTAACATCAACCAGGCTTCGGAGGTCTCTTCGACTAAATGCCCCAGACGTGGGCCCCAGTCAGGATTGGCACATGCACGCGACGGAACAGCAGCTGCTAGCTCGATAGACGAACTACATAGGTGCAATGACATGAATGCCATCCTAGCAGATTTTGTACTTTTGAGTGCCTAATTGATCAGATCGCTGCGGAGGAAAACTAACACAACCTGGTAAGCACTACAATCTCCTAAACCCAGACCTCCCCGGCGTGATGAACAATTTTTAACCCCGAGAACCTGTTCTATGAAGAACAAAACTACGCAACAACAACACTCTAATTTTTTACTGATGCCGTTCTTCCAAATCGAATCTTCATGGCTGTTGGGTATACATTTGCTGATTCCTTCAACAGATTTCCCACATACTGTAGCTCTCACAACATGCCCCGTCATTGTCCCATTCTGACGCCATCCGCTGTGAATCGCTGCATCAGACTTCATCACTACCTCCTTCGCTTCACACGCAAGACAAAACAATAGCAATACCCACGCTCTTAGAAATACTATGCGAAAAACTCCTTTGCCTTCATCGCTTCCTCTTTCTCATCTTCGCTCAGGTTAACCATCTCAGCTTCTGATCCTGCAGTGCTCGGGTCACGTGCCAGCTCGGCACAGGTGTCTTCTTCTTTCGCTTTCCAAGAGGCCTTGTACTGGCTCCAGAGCTCCTCTACGGATTGGCCAAACAAGCCGTGCCAGAATTTCTTCTCATCATACTTTTCGCGTCCCATCGTTTCGTTCATGCGGCTGATGCTGCCTTTGCCATGTCGATCTTCAAGCCATTCCAGGAACCATGCAGTCTTCTGATAACCTTCGTCCCATCTTTGGCCTCTGCTTTCTGGTGTTTTATTCCAATGTGGTGGGGCCAAGCCGCACTTTAGCCGGACAAAGTCAGCTATGCCCTCAATCAAACCCCCTGGAGCAGTCCCGTGGCAGTTGTGCTGGTAACAGTGCACCATTTCATGGGTGACAACGCCAGCAATTTCGTGGCGAATTCTCGTCGAGTCTCTTGACTGCACCCCCTGCACGTAGTCCAATGACAGGTGGATTTCCTTGTGAAGATCGTCCAAAGGCAATCCGGTCGTGTAGGCAACACCACCCATCGACCTGAGCACCACAGTAACGGATCTCACTTTCGGAACGCTGTCGAGGCCGTAGGGGGTGTACAGCTGACTGGTAACATGTTCAATGGCACGTGTTAGATACAGCCCGGAATCCAGAGAAGAGCAAGCGATCTGGCTGGCCGGATGGGTTACTTCGTCCAAATGAAGTCGGAGCACGGCCTTGTGGCGCGGCCGTATTGGAATCGTCTTGGCCATGTTAGAAGTCTGCGGTATTCGCATGGACCGAGTTATGGCGTACGCCACTGCAGGAACTCTATCTGATTGCCTGCATCAATGGGAGGGCGGAGGCTGAGAAAGGACACTTCTGGCTGCTGGATAGGGTGTACGGTTCCAATGGATGCCCGCTTCCAGAGTATCGTGCACCGTAGTTTGAGTTCAATGTGGCAAACCGGTTTCCTCAAGTTGCTGAAGGAACACTCCAAGGTTCTCGATTTCCAAACACTTGTGCTTTTGTATATTGTCAGGCGCCTGGGAGACCAGCAGATCCAATGTTCAGGATTGGAATGCGTGAGGATAAGGTTTGGGTGCTAGAGACGCAACCAGAGAAGGCGCCGCTTATCTAATCCACAATCACCGGCCGATCGCGGCGGTGATTGGTCTCCCACCAACCTCCATCCGCCCCGGCCGCCAAGCCCCTCACGGCGCTCCTCCAAAACATCGGGATCAACAACACGAACCCTTCCACATGAGCGCTTCTTCTCCTCTATACAAACTTTGTAAAGAGTCAATTCTCCTCAACACCCAGCCTTCTGACCTCTCTACGGTGGGCTGCTACTTGGATTTCTGCTGATAGGTACGTGTCCTTTTCATCTGCCGTCTACTTAAGTCTCGCATCTCCCCCAGTTCTTCTCCCTTACTCTCTCCTCCATAAACATTCTGTTACACACTGGCAGTAGTTAGATGCTCTACCACAAGCTGTACTCAATTGACCACACTTGAATTCAAGCTCAAGCTCACTGTTACACTTGCTCTTCCAAACCTCACTTCCATCGCACTCCCCATTTTCTTTTTCCGCGCTGCTCTGCTCTGCTTTTGGCAGTTTGCCTCTCATCTTGTTGCCTGTTGTTCTCTGTTTCCCGCGAGAGTTTACAGAAGCACTTTGTGCCTCCGTCTCCAACATGGGTTTCTGTATGCTGCGTGCTGTGCTTTTTCTCCCGCGTTGCTGTTTTTCGTCCATCTAACAACGTGTGTTGCAGTGAGCAAAGTCGACAGACTCATTCCGGTTGCTGGAAAAGCAATCTACTTCACCATCACTGGCCTGAGAGCCAAGATGCTCGGCACCACCTATGTTGACGTGCTCAACTTCCTGCACTATGAACTCACCCTCCCAGAGACCGAGGAGAGCTGGAAGAAGCGTCAGGATCTTCTTGTCAAGCTCTCCGAGATCTTCGACAACCGCAAGGACAACAGCGTCCTCCCCAAAGACTTCGTAGAACGTGTCAAGGCCATCTTGCCTGACATTGTCACCACTGCCCTTTCTGAACGGACTACTTTGTCCACTCAAGCCTGCCGCGTCATCTCCAAAGTGGCACAGCATCTTGAGACTCAAATCCAACCTCAGTTGGACATCCTCCTCCCGCAGCTCATTGTTCTTTGCGGTTCAGCCAAGGGCGTGAACCAGAAGAACGCCAATGAAACAATCATCAACATCTGCAAGCATGCCGGCTACAGCCCTCGCCTTTTCTACCATGTGTGCTCTGCAATCAGAGACAAACGCATCCCTCCTCGTACCTATGCCCCAGAGTGGCTCCGAATCCTTCTTACCTCATACCGCACTCAAATGGATCGGGAGAAAGATGGTGAAGCAGCCAGGAAGGCTATCTACCAAGGTCTCACCGATGGACAAATCAAAGTCCGCGAGAACAGCCGTGCAGTTTACTGGGAATATGCCAAATATGACGCCCAAGGTGCCCGCATGATCATGGGTGGTCTCAACCCCCATGCACAAGCTGCCCTTCGTGAAGACTCTCACAACCCAGACAAGTCGGCTGCAAAGGCTGGCAAAGCACCCCGTCCCGGGTCGGCCATCGCCTCCATCAAAGCACAAAACAAACAACTCATGCAACAACGTCGCGGCTTCACTCCTGCCTCGATCAAACCAGAAGACTTCGTCTTTGGCTCCATGGAGAGTCTGGATGCCCCCACATACAAGAAATCTGCTCAAAAGGTCGCCGCTGAGACCTCAGGGGAGAGACAAGATAGACATGCTCTGGAAACTCCTCAAGCAAGCCATCACGGCGAACCAACAGGAAGCTCCTGTCAAGGCACTTCCGCCCACTCTCGCAATGTTATCTTCAAATCATCGAAGGACAACAAGCTTGAGATCACAAAAGAGCTGAAACCAGCAAGCCCCCAAGTTGACGCTCGCCCGTTGCTCTCGGCACCAGTCAGACGAGGTCGTATTGTTGCCACCCCCATGGCCGCACCGACACATCGTCCTGGTTCCCGTGGAGAGGCTACCAAGAAGCCTGTCGAGCTCAAGGACAAGTCACTGTCCGACAAATCATCCGGTCGTCAAACTCCAGTCAACACGGAGAAGGAATACCTGTCTTCCACCGTCATCCATCATCGTAAGGTGCCAAGTCGCCATGATGCTGTCAGATACGACGAAAAGGACCTTCCCGTCGCCAGTGGGCTTCAGAACCTCAAAAGAAGCGGCCGACAGACCCCTGTTGCCGCCGATGACAAAGAGCATTCTGCTCCATCATCAACTCAACCTGCCAAGAAGGCTGACCGCCCCATTACCATTATTGCCGAAGACAAGACAGAGCCAGCGCATGCCAACATCATGCCGGCCAAAGAGACTATAGCTCCAGAGCAAGCCGCCGAAGCACCATCTCAATCAGCGGCTCTTCCTCTTCGCCCCGTCAGAGCATTTGCACCTGAGAATCAGAGTCTTCCACCTGCTGACCTTACCAATGACAAAGGCAGCAGTCATCATCATGTTGCCGAGGGTAAAGAAAACTCTTACGTTGTCCGCCCTCGCAAGAAGAGATCTCCGGGCACATCACCCCGCCGATCTCCTAACCGCTCACCACAACGATCTCCACGTCGCAATAGTGTTGGGGCGTCGGCCAAGAAATCCCTTACAGCTGCCATGGAATACCTCCGCCGTGGCAGCCTTGACGCCCTGGGCTACCGCAGGCTTAGAAAGCTCATTGAAAACCACCCGGGGGTCTTGATCACACGTCAAAGCCAGTTCAACGAGTTGTATGAACTACTCATTGGCAAGCTGGCCTCTCTCGATGAAATCACTGAATCACGAGAGAAACGCCTTGAAACCCTCAGTCACCCTGCCTACCACAGACATACCATTATTCTTACTCTATTCATTCTTACCCAACAATATCCACAATGGCAGGAGCCGCAACCCGGCATGACTCTCTCAGCACTCCTCGTGGCCCGATGCAACCATAGCTCCGGGTACGTTTCAACATTACGAGCCATCGACGACTCGGCAGGCGTGCTTTGCTCCACCACTCCAAACATACTTCCATCTATCGATGCCGTTCTCGATACCTTGGAACAAGTCGAACATATCATTACCACGAACGACCCTATTATTACACCCACCTCTACCACTACCATTATTTGTAACAGCCTACAAAGTCTGGCGTCGGACTTTGGACCTGAACGTCCACGCTTCTCCAACAGACTCCCTATTATTATGGCATTTGGACTCAAAATCCTCTGTGTCCTTCTTGGACGCCTCCGTTCCGGCAGCCAAAGTCTCTATACGATTCAAGAAGACCGATTGGCTTCTTTTGCAGAACATCTCCTTGCCACCTACACCTCTGTCATCAAAAGATATGTGATGGAGTATTGCACTGCGCTACATGCCGTCATCAAACCAGAGAAGCGGTTCTACCAGTTCTTCAGCAAGGAATCTGATCGAAATCTCATCCACTACTATGTTGCTGGCGCTTCCGGCATGGTATATGGCAGTCTGGGCAACACAGGCCGGGTGGTCATGCCTGAGGATGACTTCATCGACGATGAGATGGAGCGCGAGCCATCTACCTTTGATCCCGGCTCTGAAATGTCGGCGAACCTCAAGCTCCTGCAAACTGCGGGCATGGATCAAGCTATTGCCGTGCCGCCGGGCAATCTGACTTCCATGGGCGATGACCAATTGGCCGCCTCGTCCGGCAACTGGCAGATCCTCGGGACTACAGCCGACGACGCATAGCAGGCGGCATTGCCAAAGGCGATGCCAAACAACTGTATTAATATGGTTATTCTTTTGGTTATTATTGAAGGCATGCTGCCACTGGCACTCATGGGATAGACTTCGTGGGGTGGTGCATAGGAATTTGGGGAGGCTTTCTGCTTACAACAATGTCCTCTCAGGGCAAACAGGATATCGGACCTGGGCTGTTATGAGGGCTGGGGAATCGTTTGGAGTCAACAGGAGTTTCTGCATCACGCATGCCGCCCGGCTATTATTTGATAGGTATGCGCAAAGCATACACGGCAAGACACTATTACTATTGGTATTAATATTACCATCAAAGCCATACTTCCAGTTCTCTCTCCATTGTACCATGTTGTAACTGCTGCTCTTTATCCTCCTAGTGTATTTCTGTCGAGGCTCGAGGGAACGTAGTCGTACTAGAATTGCGTAATCAATGGTCATGTCGTGACCACGATGGTGGAGCATGCTGTGTTTCAGATGGAAGTGGACAAACAGTCTGAACTCCTGGCTGCGGAACAAGAGACTCCGCACTTAACAGATCCCACACAACAGCATAGAATGCCGGGCGATCTAACAGGACTATGTGCAAGTATAACCGATTCCCGGAGGGCCAAAATAGGCGAATCGCGTACCAAACAGTGCTAGAACAGGGCTGCTACGAGTAGAGGCTCCCTAGGCGATGTATGGGGTGGCCTGTTGATTTCAAGGCCAAGTGAAACGCCAGATGTTCTGCAGGCGGCCTGGACTAATCTACCAAGCATTACCTTACTGATCAGCCTCCCTGCCAGTGCAGTGTGTTCTAAGGTGATGCTGTCTGTCGCTGTCGGTGTCGCTCTCAGTCACACTCGCCACGTGGGCACAGATCAGTTTGTACCTGTATGGGCATGTGCGAGTCCCCCTACCTGAAGTGCCGTGTGTGACAGGTGAATACGAGCAGCATGTGTGAGTGTGGTCGCACTGCAGTCAAAAAGCTCGTCAGCAAGTCGGAGGAGCAAGCGAATATTCGAATGCTACTGTGGACGGATGATATTCGTATCGAAGCTGGCCTGCTCCTACAATCACGCCGCTGATCCGGCCACCAGGGTACAAACGGAGGGTAGATCAAATGGGAGATATAGGTACATGTATCGTGACCGCAGTTGACTGTGTGCAAGTTGCATGGAACACTGTGACTCGGAACAGATTGCTCCCCGATTTGCAGGACCCGGCCAGATCTCTTTACAACATCCACTGCCAACACCCCCTTTTTAATATCGATCTACCAGTTATCAGCCTGTGATATTATTGTGGTTAATCAAGGTCTCCCCATCTTTTGATGCAGCCAGGGTGCCACTAGCATGACAAGAGTTTAGCTGAAGATGCCACGGAGACGGCGCTGTCGCTGAAGAGGCCCTGATGAATGGGATTCGTCATCGCCCGCTGGGTGCTTAGCTGTTTTAGGCCATCGTCAGCCTGGCTGATATTCCTTGTTCAATCATTAGGCTCTGCGCTAGGCTTAAAGAGCCCAAGTCACTCCCACTTATAGGCCCAGGAGACACCTGGCACGCTCCCAGATGCTTCTAATAGGGGAGCCTAAGGAGCCAGCCAGCAGACCGCCTGGGGGCTGTGAAGGCTGGTGAACCCTGTGAACCTGTCTGTCAGTCGAGTGCCAGGTGTGCCATCCGCGCCTATCGAGCCTTTGCTGGGGCGCGCCCTGGCTCCAGCGTCCGCCGGCGGGAGTCTGTGCCTGCGTCGTGTCTGCTGGCTCTGCGGTGCCTCCTCCAACGAGTCTGGCACCGCAGTTGCGCAGGCATACATACCACTCGGTAGTAATCAATTCATTGATCTCTCAGTTCCGCACACTTGCACTGCACGACATAGATTCTCATCCCGCAGCCAACACAAGCAACTCTTTGCTTTTGAACACTCTGCTTTACACACACGACAACAATCATCAGCCGTCTCAATGCGTCTTCTCCCCCGACGCTCGCCTTGAACGCTTCTGCCGTCTACACGGAACGTCACCCTCTCACCCGTCTACGACTTGCACCACTGAAGCGACGCGACCATCTCTCTCGCCTCTATCTTCGCAACCTCGTTCCTGGACTCGTATGAGCTGACACAACTGATCTGACGTTTGTTTGCCGTCCCTTCTCTGCTCGTTATTGTGTCGCGCACCGCCTCAAAAGTCTTTTACGATCTGTTCGATTGTCTGACGCACGATTGCATCTCGCTGATCGTCCGAATTAATCAACGGCAAACGGCCCTTTCACCCATCACCACATCAGCGTCCGTTTTCGCCGTTAGCCACTATTGTGCTTTGAGTACTGCCTAGAGCAGCACCTAGAGCAGCATACGAAGTACTGGGAACCCCACGCCAAAAGGGACAAGAGCTGGGTCACTGCGTCGTTAAATGTCCAAAGTGTTGAGCCTGGGTTGAAGAGCTGTACAGGGTCGACATTATTCATGAACCACCACCCGGTTGATTTGGTGGACTAGACTCGGTGTATGTGGATTGATTGTCAGTGAAGTCTACCATATGTCGACCGGGCAGGCCCATTGTTCAGCACACGACAAGACAACCCGACACTATGGCGACCGCACTGGAATCTCCTGCGCCATTTCCAGAGTCACCCCTGGACCCTGATGACATCCCCTTTCCTTGCAAAGGATGCGGCCAGGTTAGTCTTGCATTGTTATCACTATACAAAGTTGTACTGACAACAGTCTTAAGATTCTGGAAGAAGGCAAAGCTTTTGAGCTAGGTACAGTGCCTGTCCTCCCCCGTCACATCCATACCAGTACTGACATGTGCAAAAGCCGGCAACAGATGGCATATCGACTGCTTCCGCTGCAATACATGTGGAACCGCCCTAGATTCCGACGCGAATCTCCTCCTGCTGGGCGATGGCTCATTGATTTGCAACAACTGTACTTACAGTTGTAGTAGCTGCGGAAACAAAATAGAGGATCTCGCTATCCTTACAGGCGACCAGGCCTTCTGCGCCAACTGTTTCAAATGCCGAAACTGCAAACGGAAGATTGAAAACCTGAGATATGCGCGGACGTCTCAAGGAATCTTTTGTATGGACTGTCATGAAGCGCTAATGGCCAGAAGACGGAAGAGGACAGCAAAGAACAATGCACAGCGCTCGAAGCTTTCAGCGAACAATAGTGTCCAGCTGGACAAGTCCCTTCCTGCCATTCCTCCACCAGAGGCCAGAAAAACAGCATATGTCCCAGAGGATCATTCACCCTACCCAGAAGGATATGTGGAGGCTCCGGCTGATTTGCCTTCGGTTGCAAAGACCATGAGCGAGTTGCGCGGTGACGATGACTCTCGACCATCATCTTCAGATCAGAACCCGCCTCGAGGTAGGTAGCCGATCTATTCGGTGGCCATAACAATACTGACCCACTTTTTAGATATGCTCACTCTGCCATCAACAACTTTCAAGAACAATAGGCATTCAATGATGTCCCAGCGCTCAGATCTTACTGGCGGTGGTGGCGAGGAATTCTTGATTCCACTGGCATTTGACCCTACCCCTCAACCATCTACTCAGTCTCCTAGTGTCTCCAGCCAGGCGACCCCTCGACAAGTCGACGAAAAGCCCAGAGACTACTTCTCCAGCAGGCCAGCACCGGCTACAACGAAGTCGAGTACGTCGAGTCCTCATATTGCTTACCAGGAGAAAGGACGTCAACCGTCTCGGGATTTGGTCGAGCGAAGCCGCTCTGGCGGTAACGTCAGCCGAAACGGGTCTGCACATGCATCTCCTTATACCTCTGTCGACCGTTCTTCAAAGTTGATGGGAGATTCGCCCCGGTTGTCACAAACTGCCCGCCCCAACGATGGTTCTTTGAATGAAAAGTTCAAATTGCAAGACGCTCCTAAGTCCAAGAAGGCTGTTGCGTCTGCCGCCAACTCTCGATCAGGAACTTCCACACCTCAGGCAGACGTTGCGAGTGAGTCACCAAGTCCAACTGAACAACCTGCAACAACAAAGGCGGCCGCCATGGAGACTGCTTCACCGTCAGATCGCGGTTTCTCGACTCCTCAAATCTCAAGAGAATCGAGTCCTCAGAGCGAAGCAGAAGAGTCGCCCAAGCCAGCTCAGCTGCCGGCAGCGTCTGTGCTGCAGAATCTACCAAAGCGGGGCGATTCTTTGGAAAGCGCAAAGCGAGCGCAGACGATACCCAGGAAAGATCTCAGTTCTTCAGCAAACATCCCTTCCAGTCTTAGCAGCGCTGTGAATGGGACTCCCGTCGTACCTCTGTCGTCCAGTCTTTCTACTGATCTGGCGAGGGCTAATGGCGGCAAAATCATATCAGGTCCTATTGGATCACCCAGCTCCAGGAGCATTTTCGACACGGCGGATGATTCACTCAACCAGGGGGACCTCCCAAGTGCTGGAAGAGCTGGCAATGAATCCTTCGTCGACCCCCGTGCGCCACCTCTACCGCCTGCTGACCACTCTAGATCTCGAAATGAATCATTCAGCACAATGCAATCAGAGAATCAACGATATCTGGAAAGCCAGAAAGCACTGGGCCTTCCCAGGTACTCTACAGGAGGCGAGTTTAGCATGGATGAAGACATGGCTCGGATCATGGCCGGAGATGAACCAAGTGCTCATGGGTCTTTCCTCAAACGAGTTTCAAATTCCGTGCGTCATGGCCGCAGCTACAGCGACAAGACCGGCCGCCTCTCGCGTGACCGCTGGCCTCGATCCCCAGCAGCATTGCCGACGACGTCGATAGGTCAAGAGATTAGCAGTCCCAGCAGTGCATCTCCTGAGCATCGCGATGAGCTTTCGTGGTTCAAGAACGAACTCCGGCGCGAGCGTCAAAAGATAATCGAGCGAGAGAAGAGGATAGCGGAGCTAGAGGCACAGCTGGACTCGGCCGCCGATATCAAGCAGGTCAATTCCGAGCTCAAGGAGAAGAGGTCGACCATTGTGGTGCTCGATACGCAAAAGGAGATTGTGGTTCGTGAACTGGAAGTGTTGACCGAACATTTGGCTGTCGCTAAACGTAGCGGCGAGCCATTCGATGTCAACAAATTGAGAGGCACCGTGCTGCGCGAGTTTGCGGAAGCATTGGAAAAGTTGAAGAACTCGTTTGCGCCTCAGATCGAAGAGTCTATCCAAAGACGGAATGATCTGGTTGATGAGATCGCGAACTTGACCCAGATGAAGGACAAGAGTTTTATGGAATTTGAGCAGCTGTCTTCAAAGAACGCCCAGCTTGCGGAGCTGAATAACCAATTGGTGCACCAGATCCAAGGGTTGTACAAGGCCAACTCCGGCGTCCAGCCTGAAGCCCCCAAAGCCGCCATCAACGGACTCGGAATCTATTCACATCACAAAGAAAAGTCGAACTTGTCGTTTGACTCCCGAGAGGCCGTGGCCCGAAACATGTCCACCGACCTGACCAACATTGAGTCCGCAAGCACACTACAGGCCAGCGAAGCGGAGCCGGTTACGGTGATTCAGGGACCTCAGATGGTGAACATCCGAAAGGGTCAACCCAAGAAGTTTGACTGGAGGAGGGGCCAAAAGGTGGCCAAGGGAGTCACAAAGGGTCTGAAAGGTGCCTTCTCCTCGACACAGCAAACATACAGCCGGGACCTTCAATTTGCCGAAACTGGGGCCTACGGCTCCGGTCCTGTCGGCCAAGAGTATGGGAGCATGCCCAAGACGAACCCGGAGCCGGTGAAGCAAGGCGGATTTGGCTTTTTCGGCAACCAGAAGACCGCAACGAAGCCCAACGGTCTGTATGCACAGCAGGCCAATGCAAGCACGCCGTCCCTACTGGTGGATGCCACTACACGTAAGGATTACTGGAATCTTTCCCTCATTGCTCATGCTAACACGCTGCAGAATTGTTTGGCTCTGACCTGGAACAACGGGCCGAGTTTGAGAAGACATCCGTTCCCTCTATCGTTGTACGGTGCATTGAAGAAGTGGAAGCCCGAGGTATGATTTGTCCCCATTCCTAACAGTTTCCTGTGCTGACAGTAGGTAGGCATGGATGTGGAAGGCATTTATCGAAAATCTGGTGCCAACTCGCAAGTCCAGCAAGTCAAGGAGTGGTTCGAAAACCCGACCAAGGACTTTGATATCTCCGACCCTGACTTCGACATACATGCCGTCACTTCTGGATTGAAGCAGTATTTCAGACGGCTCCCGGTTCCGCTTATCACCTATGATGTCTACGACAAACTTCTCGAAACGACTACCATCACAGAACGCGAGGCTAGAATCGATGCTATGGAACGAGCATTGGAGGAACTGCCTCGAATCCACTATGAGACGCTGACTTATCTGATGCAGCATCTCGCCCGTGTTGTACAGCAGGAAAAGGTCAATCTCATGACCAGCATGAATATTGCTGTTGTCTTCGCTCCAACCATAATGAGATCCGAGAACATCAACCGTGAGCTGAGCGATACCAAGACGAAGAACGAGGCGGTCATGTGGATGGTCGAACACAGTGATCGTATCTTTGGAACTTGAGACAAAGCGATTCGTCAGTCCAGCGTTGAATAGCGGATTTCATTCTGGGTTGAGATTGGGAGGGAAACAGGCTTTTTATCATGATCAGGGCGACTACTTTTGTGCACTACTCCATTCAGCCTGGCGTCATTGAGGAGCTGTGAAGTGTTGGTGCGATGTTTGCGTTGTAAAGTTTATGGAAGGGCGAAGCTTGCGACATGCTCGCCATCTTGACCTGTGACGATTCAGGGCGGAGCTCTCGGCCACTGGAGTGTGAGGTTTAAATTGTTGTGAGACTACTGCGGATCTGGATAGGAAGATACAGTCCAGGTGAGGACGATGAGAATGAACCTTTTCAAATCCGCAACTATTAGTATTTCCTACCTTTTTTCGCATCTTTAAGGCGTTGAACAACAGTAACAGGAGTGTTTGGCATTAGGGGTATTTGGGGCTGGTGGCTGAAACGGGATTAGCATAAATTATACCGCATTGGGGTAACCGTCACAGCCGCTACAGTACGACACACCTGCGGATTCAGCAAGTCGTCCAGACTCTACCAAGGTGCCTGTCGACAACAGACGTAGGCCAGACGTGGATACACGTCTCACCAGACGACTATCACACCCAGTACTTGAACACTCTCCAGGAGGGAGACTTGGAGGAGCACTATTCTTATAAGTCCGCTCTTCGACGATGCGCGCGTGTTCTCCTTATCCTTAGGCGCCAGAAGATGATGCCCTCTGCCACGGTCTCTTCGCACGATGAACCAACAACCACACTACCCCGGGCCCCGACAGCAGCCTTCCTTTGCGAGCGGTGGGCGCGAGGGATCGTTTGGCAGCCAGGATGCCAGGCAACCCGCCCGGGCACAAGATACCCAGTCGCTCGCCGCGCGTTTCGAAGATGAGAAGAGGCGCATCATTGAAAGCTGCTTCCACAAGCGGGACCCTGATGGGATGCAGCTCGAGTCCTACATCACCCATGTCAGGGTCACCGAAGATGCGTCCTACCCGTCATCGCCACCTCCTCCCGACTCGCCTGCGTCGAACAAAAAGCCTAGAGTCATTCTTGTTGCGGTGCGAAGGTCGGGCAAGGTTAGAGTCCACAAAGCACGCGAAAACCCAAGCGGGACGTTTTCAATAGGGAAGACATGGGCTTTGGATGAATTACTTGCAATTACTTCATACTCGTCCATGGTGCCGGCAACGCCGCAACAGCAGATGGAGAAGCAATGGGCAGCCCACACAGGGTTCATTGTCACTCTTGGAAAGCCGTATTTCTGGGCAGCAGACACCGCCAAAGAGAAAGACTTTTTCATCGCCAGCCTTATCAAAATATACCGGAAATACACGGGCGGCCGTGTGCCAGACCTCATCGGCTTTGGGCCACAGGAGGTGACACAGCTCATTGGAACCCCGTCGTCCCAGACTACTCCCAACCCAAATGCCGCATTGTCCCCGAACCTCACACCTGAACGGTCACACAACCTTCCCCCTCCTCCTCCCTCTGTGCCCGCCTTGAGTGCGAACCGGCCGCAATCACCTTATTCCACGGCACAACCACATCCACAGCCACCTCCAAGCAGAGAAGGCAACCGTAGTGAACCGCCAGAGAGGGAACGTCCGGTGCGGCATCAAGGCTATCACATGGTTACTACCGATGGTCCGGGTGATTCCCGCCATTCAGGAAGGTCCGGACGGGATCAGCATATGAATGATGCTCCGCCGCCTCGTGGTCAGCCGTATGGTAGCCATTTCAGGCGAGATGACGGCCGAGCGCCGTCCCTGACGGACAGCCTGCAACCGACAAGCTCGCGGCTGTCAATCAGCCCCAAAGCCTCGCAATCGTCCTTACAGCGCTCCGAGGCTTCCTCTCTCGAACCGCCTCCACTCAGACCTAACGGCTTCGGCGCAGCGAGGAAACAAGGGCCGCCGCCTGGCCAGGACTCAGCCCGCAATGCTGGTGGTAGTGAAAGCTTCAACAAGCGAAGACCGAGTGCGGCCAACAGTGACTATACGTCTCCCGAACCAGTGTCTAGCACCCCAGCGCGCGATTATGAACCGTTGCCTGAGCGTAAGAGGCCAGTCGCAGCTGTGTCAGAATCCAGATCCGACCAACTCGGCCCTCCGAGTCAGGACAATAGCGAGTTTGTCACCCCGGTAGCAACGCCAAGCGCACTGAAAGAGGAGGAAGAACAGAAACGAGATGATGGTTACTTTGCCAAAGAAAAGTCCCAACAGGATCCTGCCAGGCGTGGGAATGCCGTTGCATCAAGTAAGGATGCATCTCAGAACATTACAAATGAACCCTTTACGGACGAGCCAGCAGAAGCGCCAGCTCCCCCCAAGGTGGAAGAAGAGCATCGTCCGGGACTGGGGCCGATGATCAAGAAGAAATCGGAGAAGGATATTGCGAACAGGTTCCGAAAAGCTGCTCTCGCTGCAACAGCCTTCCAACCACGTCAGGGTGGCGCCGCTGCTCGACTGAGAGCACTGCAGGAGAGACAATCCAACGAGCCCGATGGCATCACCAGCGTAGTACCAGCACCTTTGATGAGGGGTATGAGTTCTGATAGTGCAAGGAGTGGCACTCCAGACCTACCAGGGGCAGGTAACGAGAGGAATCAACCTACTCCGCAACCCACACAGAATGACACAGTGCCGAAAGTCCACCTTGAGCGAACGGCAACTTCTGATACCGTTGCACGTTCTGAGACTCCCGCCATTTTGCCCGCTCCGCAGCAACAGGCACCACCCAAGGAGGAAAGGGCACAGTCTCCTGATAAGGGGCGGTCACGCTCGCCGCAGAGGAGGCGTCGGCAAAAATTGGAGGCCGAAGTCGAGAAACATTGCGCGACCTTGGGGATCGATCCTCGAATTTTGGAGGGCCGCGGAGCTGATTTCAATGAGCTTCTGACCGAGTTTGGCTGGGGTGGGAGACTGCCAGGGCAGCAAAAGGTGGAAGATTTCGAGACCGAGATTCGTCGGGAAATCGGTCGTGCCCAGGCAAGCGGTTGGTTGGGCCATTTGGAACAACAAGAAAGTAAAGTGCAAGAATTGGCAAAGGCGTTTGATAGAGCCATTGCAGAGTGTGATGAACTCGATGGTCTACTAACGTTGTATGCCCACGAACTTGATACTCTGCACGACGATATTGAGTATATTGAGGCTCAAGGACAAGGTTTGCAAGTGCAAACGGCGAACCAGAAGTTGCTCCAGGCGGAGCTACAGAACTTGTTGCAGACGCTGACGATATCGTCCGAAGACCTGAGAGCTCTCCGCGCAGCGCCCATTGACAATTTGGACGGCCTGCAGGCAGTGGAGAGTTCTTTGGCACTGCTCTACCGAGCCATGCTGACCATCGATCCTGAAATCCGGCAGAATAAGCTCCGTCAAACTGGGGCTTCTTCGACTCATGGTACAGGATTGCCCGTGTATGCCGACTCTAACACTGACCAAATGCGGGCGGTGCAACAAAAGAAGGAGGAGTATAGACAAGAGAGCATGATGTTCATCAACCGGTTCAACCAACATATGAAGGCTATGTTTCAGATGGCTGAGCAACGAACTAGCGAGGAGGAAAAAGCTAGCGTTTCTTCTGGGACATCTATTGCGCTCAATCTCCGGGCTTACACGGCTTCACGTCAGGAGCTGTGGGTGTACAACGCTATGATGCTCTTCGTGCGGGAGGTCAATCAGTACGAATGGCAGACATTGATCAGCAGCTATGAGATCAGTGTCAAGAGCATCTATCAGGAGCAGTTCCGCGACTTCACCATGAACCTCAGGCGGACGGCCAGGAAGCCGACCGGGGAGGAACAGGAGATTCTGTTCACGCACCAAGAGAAAGAGAAAGCAGAAGAGTCGCTTACTTCCACGGCTGCCCGCAAGCTCACGGTCAGACGGGGTAAAACGGTCAGGACCACTGCTCTGAAACAATCAATGGGTGACAAGAGGGAGGGCAAACCAGAAGCATGGGCTGTGTTTGAGACAGTGCTTGAACAGCAAGCCACGGCTGTTGCCGAAGAGCAAAACTTCATTGTGCACTTTTTCCATCTCGAGTCACAGTCCAACGCCGATTTTGCCGATGTGGTACAATCTCAGCCTCCTGAACAACGGCAGGTGCCCAACCTGCAGGCCAAGCAACCTTACGATCCGGACCGAACCATGGCCAAGGTTGTGCAAAACACCGTCGAGGGTATTTATGGATTCTGGGTCAAGGACCTTCAGGCGTTGGTGGATTGGGTACTACACATGGACCAACTACATGGCGTGGGCGTGCTCGTCGCTCTAGAGCAGTGTCTGGCCAAATATGAAGAGACCAATCAGGAATTCATCACTCGGACGGTACGCGTCCTTCACGAGCGAGTGACGGGACTCTTCCACAAATTTGTGGAAGAGCAGGTCAAAGCGATTGAAGAGACTAAAGTCAAGGTCAAGAAACGTAAGGGGTTGATCTCGTTCATGAGAGTGTTCCCCGAGTTTACTTCGGCGGTGGAGGAGATGATTCCTTCAGAGTCTACTGCCCACCACGACTCGCTCGAGGTGCGCTTCATTGTGAATGATGCGTACACCAAACTGTTGAAGGCGATGTGGGAATCTCTGAGTTTCATCGCCAAGGACCACCCGGCCAGCTCGAGCGCAGGCGCGGCAGGCGGCGTGGTTCATACAGGTGGACCGACGAGCGGAGATCCCGAGGACAAAGAAGCGCTCAACTACCATATCCTGCTGATTGAAAACATGAATTTCTTTGTGGAAGAGGTGAAAACGCACCACAACGTGGTATTGGAAGAGTGGACGGAGCGAGCATCCCGCGACCAACTGACTCATCTGGCTCAATATACCGATGCCGTGATCCGGCGGCCCCTGGGCAAATGGCTGGATTTCCTCGAGAGTACTGAAGCCATGATGAAATCAACGGATTCGAACAATTATGCCGCTATTGCCAATAAACCGAGTCACTCGCGCAGCTCGGCCAAGAAGATCCTGGCCGCATACGACGCCAAGGAGGTGCGCAAGGGCATTGAGACGCTCAAGAAGCGCATCGAAAAGCATTTCACTGACGCCGACGATCCCAGTGGAAGTCTGAGCAGTAGTAGTAGGGCTTTGATCGCCAGGGTCTTTGACGAGTGTTCGACGCGATATGCGCATGCGTACGATCGCATGAAAACGGTGATTGATCGGGTGTATGATTCGAGTCTGGAAATCGAGTGGCGGAAGGAGGATGCTGCCGCCATGTTTAGGAGGTGATAGGTAGCCTTTTGCGAATGCAAGTCGGTTTCATCAGTTTTACCCTTTTTTTTCCTCCCCTTAATGGAGCGGATATTGGCTGTTCTTCGCCAATTAAGTCGTGAGATACCTAAAGGTACTTTACATCCTGCCTGTCTACGGTATTACAGTCTTGTAGTACTCAACTGACGGTCCCCAGCGTGATGCAGCACGTGTGTACCTAGGTAGGATGCCAGTGTTGTTCAAGTTTCGGCCATGCGGCTCAAATGAAGCCGAGTCTTAACGCCGAAAGGACCCATATTCTGTCATGGCCGAATCAAATCGGAGATAATGTCGTCGTATCTCGGTCCTAAGTTTATCTCGTTCCAATACTAGTACATGTTGAAAGCGCACCCCAGGCTGCAGCAAGTGGTCCTCACAAATAAATCGAAACCCATTTCATGTTCAGATATTGCATTCTTCTTCGCCTACCTACTGTACCTACTACTCTCTTCAGTGCTGCCTGGAGTCGCACCTCGACTGAGAACCCGGCGACCGAACCGGAAACCGAATCTGATATCATCATCGCACGCCATCATCTACGTGCCACTTGTCACTGTCACTGGCAGCCTGAGTGTACTGTACGCTCCGACCAATAATCGACTCCGGTTCACACTGCAGCGGCGGGTACCACTAGCCACGCGGCGTGCAAGTGCCAGGCGGCAAATCGAATCAAATCTGATCAGATTAAATCAGCCCTCATCAGATTACGATTACAATAAAATCAGATCAACATCAACACTGCATCAATCTACAACTATCAACGCCGGTCCTCTTCCGCTGTACTGCAGTGAGGTCACAGGTCGGATCTTGTGTTTCGAGTCAGGGCAGTGTACTATACCTACCTACTGTCTTGCGGAGAAGATACGGCGACACTGCACGGAGACAGGATTGACGATACGACAGGATTGACGATCAATCGCTTCATTGCATTTATATCCCCAGTTCCGGTCAGGGCTGCACTGTATTCGAAGGATAGAGGCTGCGCTATCTAATCAATCACCGGAGGGATACTCTACATCCAGATACAGACAACAAGTGTTGCATACAAAATGTCACTCTTTCGCAGCGTGAAATCGCTCATCCACCGCAACCACTCCGACGGTGCCGAAGGGGAGTCCGGTTTCCGCACAGCAAAAACAGAAACCGAACTCTTCCCCCCAACACGGCCCGAAGTCGACGGCGAAGAATGTCTACACGACTGCACAAGTTGCACGACACACTATCCAGCGAAGTTCTCAATTGACGAAAGCGACAAGCTGTACGGCCACGTCAAGGGTTGGAACACGCATTTGATCGTCGGTACAGGCAAAACCGACTGGGTGCGCGACGTGACGGACGAAAAGGGATCTGTGATGCAGGCTGTCGGTAAAGCCGGCCTGGACCGCAAGAACGGCAAGATCATGTTGAGTGCGAGTAATTTGCCTCCAAGTCTTGATCATGACCATCATCATGATGAGGATGTCGAGCCCGGCACCAGTGATTGTTTGTTGTTGCCTGCTTGGGTGGTTATCGAAAAGGTCGCGCCGAGTAAAGTCGAGACGTTGCTCAGGGAGGTGGTGGAGCAGAGTCCGACGAATACTACGCCGTTGAGAAGAGAACAGCCCCAACATCAACAGAGTGGTGTTGGTGTGACCCCTAGTACTGCCAATGGACATGTGTCGGCAGGAAATGAAGAAGTCCATGAACAGCAGCAACACAAACAACAAGAGGATGTGGACGTTGACGTTTCGAAACTACATATCAACGACTCCCTCGAACCCAGATCGCTGCCGGCCACGGTTTCTTCCAACTTTAGGATCAGGCCTATTCCCCACGATTACTTGATTCTCATGTGCAGCCACAAAACCCGCGACGCCCGCTGTGGCCAGTCGGCTCCCCTGCTGCGCAAGGAGTTTGAACGCATCCTCCGTCCTATGGGCCTGTACCGCGATTTCCATGACGATCGGCCCGGTGGGGTGGGTATCTATTTCATTAATCATGTTGGTGGGCACAAGTATAGTGCCAACGTGCTGATTTATCGACGCGCAACTGCGAATGCAGGAGGCCAGAGGCCGAGTCAGAATGCGAACAACGACAGGAATATCGACAAGGACAAGGGCAAGGTTGACAGCAACAGCAACCCGGGGTCCGAGGGGGAGGCTGCCGCCATTCCAAAAGAAGCCGTCCAGCTGATTTGGTTGGCTAGGGTTAGGCCCGAGGACTGTGAGAATATCGTTCGGTATACGATTCTGCAGGGCAAGGTGGTTAAGCCGAAGAGTCAGTTGAGGGCTGGCTTTGATCGGGAAAAGTGTTTGGTTTCGTGGTGATCGTTGAAACTAAAATAAAAGGAGACGAGGGAGTAGCTCGGGCGGACTGGCTGACAATGGTTGACTGACTGACTAGACAAGAGGCTGATGGTGGAAAGGGACGTGGTTTTTATGGTTCTTGAGCGATAGATTGTCACATACGAAGCATGATACACTGGCAGTAGATGGGAAAATTGAATTGCTAATGGTCCAACGGATGCCTGCTATGTAGGGTACTCAAAACACCGGAGGTACAAGTACAAGTAGATGTTGCGCATGCGTACATGCATCGGGTTATAGAAAGATGACGATGAAAACAACAAACGACAACGATAACAGCCACTCTGGCCGAGGGAAATCGGTATCTGTATGATATTGCGAGGGTAGTGTTGCAAGTAGCATGTCACTGCTGAAGGAGAGTGACCACATTTTCAACCCTTTACATACTCCCTCCGCATTGCTTCTACCTATCCTGCACAAAACCTCTTTTTTATTGACAAGTATACATGTTTTTGAATGTTTGATTTTAAATTTGAAATGTAGACAATAGTCTTGGTTTTGCCCGGTGATCATTCCTCGACGAGGATCTCACCACGCCTGGGAATAAGACGTCTCCCTACACACCTTACGGTCCGCCGAACTACAAACCCCGTTCGGAAAGAAAAGACCAGACCGGAACAATTCTCTTGTGAGAAAAGCTCAACGATCGGGGTCTCTTCTTCGTCTCAGGATGAGCTCAAGGCGGACCGGTTCTCCCCCGAAAGGGAGAACAAAAAGGTCTCGCGTTGATCTCAGTTCTGTCGACCGGGAAAAAAGACATTAATGGGAAAGATAATATCTCCGCGCGATGGGCCGATCGTCGCAGCAATCAACCTAACACGCCTTCATGGAAGGCGGAAGGGATCGCTGCGATACAGAACTGTTGTATGGATAAAGAAAAGAAGAAAGGAAAGGAAGGGAAGAGTTGAGGAAGACAAACTTGAAGTCGAGATTTTGATGCCAAGACTTACAGGGCGCTAGACTATAGTAGGTTAAGACTGGAGTTTGCCTCTTGGATTGTGGATGAACGCAGTGACACTGGCGTCCAGGCTGCGGTTCGGGTTCAGCACTGCACTACACTGCACTTAGTACCTACTGTATGCTCATGGACGGGCACCAATACCTAATCGCTTCGCTCTCATCTTTGCCCTCATAACACGGTACTGTATTGTCTGCTTCCTAGACAGGCGGTTGAGATCGGTGGTGCACATACGTTGCCAATATCAGTGCAGTGACTACTACTACCGCCATCATGGCAACTCCCGACATCGAGCAGATGAACAAGCTCCGCAAAAGCCTGGGCTTGCCATTACTGAACGTAAGTGGACAACCTCCACCGAGCGCTGAAGGACCTTCATTCAAAGACCATTCTGCAAGCGACGACAGCGACGAGGAGCCCGCGTCGACCTTGGAAACCCGCGAGGCCGCGGGGTTTGGGAACTGGAAGCGGCTGCAAGACGAAGAAAAAAGACGTCAGGAGCGGGAGAAACGGAAACAACAGATACAAAAGGCCCGCGATGCTGCCGCGAGACAGGCCAAGCTCGTGGGCAAAGGTCTCGGAGACGTGGAAGAGGCCGATGTGGATGCGAAGACCTGGTTGAAAACCCAGAAGAAGAGACAGGCCCAGATCGAGCGTGAACGCGCCGAACGATTGGCCCAGGAACTCGCCGAGCGCGAGAGACAGGCTGCTCTGGAATACTCGGCCAAAGATCTTGCGGGCGTGCAGGTCGCACATGAGATTGGCGAATTCGAGGACGGCGACACCGAACAGATCCTGACGCTCAAGGATACCGAGATCGGCAAAGGTGACGACGATGACGACCAACAAGATATCCTGGAGAATGCCGATCTCGTGGCCAAAGAGAAGCTCAAGGAGAGACTCGAGCTCAAGAAGAAGAGGACGGCTTACGACGTCAACGATGATTCGCAGAGAAACTTGTTAGCACAGTATGATGAGAAAAAACGCAAGGCTTTCACGTTGGATGGCCAGGGTTCGGTTCTCGAGGAGCGCGAGGCCAAGCGTCAGCAGATTGGGGATGTGTTGAAGAATACTGTCAGTCTGGACATCTTGAAACCGGAACCCGTGTCGGATTACATGGAGGTCAAGATCAAGAAACCCAAAAAGACTAAAAAGTCGTCCAAGAGGCAGCGAATTGCAGATATCGACGACGACGAGATCCTCCCCCCTGCACAACAGAATGATGCCAGTAACGGCGATGCCATGGACCTCGATGCCGGCAGACCCGCTCCGCCTCCCAAACCCAAGACTACGGCCGATAATTTCAACGATGATGACGATGACTTGGCCAAAGCACTTGCTAGAAATCGTATGGCCGTGTTGAAGAAGCAGAAGAGGAAGCCAGAAGACATTATCAAGCAGCTTAAAGAAGAAGAGGAAAAGGCACAACAAGAACACCAGCAAGAGGCTGATGTGGGTCTTGTGCTTGACGACACCACGGTGTTTTTGGACAATCTGTCTTCGCGGCCGAGGGAAGAGGAGCGACCGAGGAGGGCCTCTTCGGTCAAGAAGTCGGTGGAACAGCCTGATGATGCTCGTAGCCCTGCAGAGGTCAAGCAGGAAGCCGCAGATGAAGACCACCCCATGGGTGAAGCATACAGCGGCGTGGAAAATGAAGAAGAACTGCTTGACCGGATCAAGCGAGCACGATCTACAGTCAGTCCGGACGTGTCGCACATGGGACTGGACGAAGAAAAGACGCTCGATCAAGGTGTGGGCGCAGCGCTTAGTCTGCTGCGGCAGAGGGGTATCCTCAAGGACACCGATCCGACGGATAAGACGGAACTATACAAGGCTCGACAGAAGTTCATCATTGAGCAACGGTTGCAAGAGGCCGAGAACGAGAGACTGGCTCGTCTGCAGCGTGAGCGTGACAGACAGTCCGGCAAGCTGACGGGCATGTCTGTCAAGGAACGAGAGGAACATGCTCGTTGGCAGAACACTCAGCGCGAACACCAGAGTTCCATTGCGGCCGCAGCCGCCTTCAACCGCGAGTACAAGCCGGATGTTCAGATCAAGTACGTCGATGACAACGGCCGGTTGATGAACGAGAAGGAGGCTTTCAAGCATCTCAGTCATCAGTTCCACGGCAAAGGCAGCGGCAAGTTGAAGACGGAGAAACATCTCAAGAAGATTGCTGAGGAGAAGAAGAGAGAGGCTGCTAGTATCTTGGATAGCAGTCAATTGACCGGCATGAGCAACGCCCAGGGCACTATGGGGAAGAAGAACAAGCAGGCTGGAGTGCGGTTAGCTTAGACAGAGACATGAGGATTGGCCAGTTGAATACCTTGGAAGTTGTACGAATGCTATACCGCGAAAGGTCTTTAGTCTAGCACCTAGCTGGCCTTGTTAAAGAAACTGTCAGCGGTGAGCTGTTGATTGTTATATTGTATTGCCCACAACACCACTGATCAAGCATGCAATGTGTGACTCGGACGTTGTCACTTTACTTGCATGAAGTACTCTAATAATGATAGCCTGCAATGGCGACATACTCCTACAACAATGTAGTGGAACAATGGACCGAACGATGCAGTGGGAAAAGGAGACCCGATGATGCGCGGCTGAACGGAACTGCCTGCACGGCGCAAGGCGCAACAGTTAGGGGCCGGGTATTCTTTTATGCACCCTCAGGCCACGCCTCGAGATGAGGAATACATACGGTACCTGGTACTTGCTCGTGCTACGGACCGAAGGTGTAAATAAAAGCTGTAAGGTCAACAGGTGCAGCATTCCTCTGATACCACGAGTAATTCAAATTATCTCTGTCGTCCAGCCCAGAACTCCAGATACTACCGGACCTCGATCATCGAAACTGTGTGGTCCGGGTTGTTGTCACATGGGGGACAACCGGAGAAAGGGCCGTTTTCCCCGACGTGCATACTGTACAACTGTAGGACTAGGAGGACTCATAGGGCGTCGAAGGTACCGGTGCCACTGTGGTGCTATGTCCTACCTAGTAATTATCACTGCTAGCTTCACATTTGTAGTAGTACACGGTAGACCGCACCAAAGTACAGTATTTTTGACTTGGAGTACTGGAGTATTAGTACCTAGGTAGTAGTACAGTATAACGCGGACTCAAGCGATGTCGGAGACTCGGAGCAGCCCCGACACGATCACAACTGAAAGGGGCTCCTCGGGCTTCTATTATGCCATCAGCGAGCCCAAATAATAATTGTTTTAGCACCATTGCACCGCAACGCGTTCCGGCGGCACTAAGCTTTGCTACCCCAAATAATTGCCCGTATGCACCTTTGATGCTCCCATGAAATAAAGTGTAGACAGACGGCGCAGTTCAGTCATCCATTCACCCATTCCTCACTTCACTCCAGACAACCCGCTGCATCTTTTTCCACCACCACCCTCTTCTCTCGCGTGTACCTTTATTTACCTAATCACACTCGCGGCCGGAAGCTCTTCTTTCTTGTAATCCTGTCCCTCATCGATCTTAAGCGTTACAGTTCCATAATGCTCTCCTCACTCCGACCAGTCGCTCGCTCGGCCGTCCGGCGACAAGGACCATTGTCACAAGCCGTCCGCGCCGTCAACGCCTCGACATGGGCTCATGTTAAGGAAGGACCGCCTGATGCTATCTTGGGCATCACGGAGGCGTACAAGAAGGATCCATTCCCGGAGAAGATTAACTTGGGAGTGGGCGCATACCGTGAGTCAACCCCATCCTACCCCCAATACATACAACTGGGCATCTTCTGCTTTGTGTTGCATGACCAAACACAACACGTAGCAGAGATGTTCCTGCAATTTTGGGCACATTCACAATCGCAACGCCCCTGACCTTCTTTGACCTTCTTCTGTCCCCATGCTGGTGCCTAATCTTCCTCCGATTATATGAGACACAATATGCTAACCACTCCGTCCAACAGGTGACGACAATGGCAAGCCCTACGTCCTTCCCAGCGTGAAAGCAGGAGAAGAAAAGGTGGTGTCGTCAGGCCACGACAAAGAATATGCCGGAATCACAGGTGTGCCTGCTTTCATCAAGGCTGCGGCCGTTCTGGCGTACGGCCCCGACTCGAAGCCCATCAAAGAAGATCGGATCGCCATCACACAGTCCATCTCTGGCACGGGAGCATTGAGAATAGGCGGCGCATTCCTGCAACGTCACTATCCGGGCGCAAAGGCCATCTACATCCCGACGCCGTCGTGGGCCAACCACAAGGCCGTCTTCAGCGACTCCGGGCTCGAGGTCAAGCAGTACAAGTACTACAACAAGAACACCATCGGCCTGGACTTTGAGGGCATGGTTTCGGACCTCAAGGCTGCCCCCGAGGGCTCCATTGTCCTGCTGCACGCCTGCGCCCACAACCCCACCGGCATTGACCCGACTCCGGAGCAATGGCGCCAGATCAGCGACGTCGTCAAGGAAAAAGGTCACTACCCTTTCTTCGACATGGCTTACCAGGGTTTCGCCTCCGGAGACACCGATAAGGACGCCTACCCGGTTCGTCTGTTCGTCGAGCAAGGTCACGGCTTGGCTCTGGCTCAGTCCTTCGCAAAGAACATGGGTTTGTACGGTGAGCGTGTCGGTGCTTTCAGCATTGTCTGCGAGTCCGCCGAGGAGAAGAAGCGTGTCGAATCCCAGATCAAGATCATCGTCCGTCCCTTGTACTCCAACCCCCCCATCCACGGCGCCCGCATCGCCACCGAGATCCTCAGCGACCCCAAGCTCAACAAACAGTGGCTCGGCGAGGTCAAGGGCATGGCCGACCGCATCATCAAGATGAGGGCTCTCCTGAAGAAGAACCTGCAGGAGCTGGGCTCAAAGCATAACTGGGACCACATCACCAACCAGGTAAATCGCCCTCTTCTGCCTCTCTGACCCATCATCCAGACTGGAAAAGCGACGTACCCTACTGCCATGAATATGAATGCTGACATGTGTACTTTCCCCTAGATCGGCATGTTCGCCTACACCGGTCTGACCCCCGAACAAATGGAAAAGCTGGCCAAGGAGCATTCCGTCTACGCCACCAAGGATGGTCGTATCTCCGTCGCAGGTATCACGACCGGCAACGTCAAGAGATTGGCCGAAGCCATCTACAAGGTCACCGGTTAGAGGGGTGTTTGTGCGATTGGGGCGGTCAAGCTGGGCTACGGCAACTGCAACCCAGATCCGAGGCCCAGCAAGGAACCAAGGTGTTGTAGTTAGGGGCGGAACAATCGAGAAGGGAATCCTAGACTGCTTGTATTTTATGCCTATCGGACATCGGGATACGGCGAGGGTCTCTCTCACAAACTCTCCATAACGGAGCGTCTGGGACAGACCATTGAGCAAATCGATCTTGGTCTCTTTAAGCAGAGCTTCTGGCATATGGGCGGAGTAGTTCGTTGCACGACAAAAGCATTATTCTGCTTGCGAGGTGGCTTTCTCTCACGCGCATCGTCAAAAGCTGAGTTAGATAGCAGAATAGACAAGCTGAGCTCAACCCTGGCATACACTGAAACAAACGTCATCTTTGGGAACCAGACTTTGGATAATTACCGCGAGGGTCCAAGCCCGTGCGACTGGTCCAGCTTTCTTCAGTCCAGCACTTTTGATTGAGAATATTCGTTGTTGCTGCACCCAAGAGGTCAGACGTCCGGACCAAGAGGCGCATCAAACCACAAGTATCCTCCAAGAGGAACGTTATGATAATTCTGACCAACCTTCTCTGAGGACGGTATCTGGCGACCCTTGACGCGTGTAAGCCCTCGATGGGAAACAGTGACGAATCCAAGGAAACCAGCACAAGGTATGAGCCCTGTACGTCACCGGCCGACGAGATGCCCTACCACGCAAACATTGGTTCAGTAATAGTACATTTCGAGGCACTATAATAGCGGAAATGACCTGGTAGCATCGATTTGCAACAGTGTGACTGTCTGCCCTGAGGCCAGATACTTGGAGGGAGCTCCCTTCATCGTAGTTATGTGGTTGAGTCCATGAACCAACCCGAAAATCTCCTGTAGCGGTGGGGTTCTGACATTCCTTTCAACGAGGTAGGTCCAGGAGATGGCAGTAATTAGCACCATTGTACCATTGTAGATGCGGTCAGGAGTAAGGGACATGGCGAAGACCTCCTCCTCCGCCAGCAAGATGCATCAGTCGTGAGGCCTTACAGTCAGGGTGGATGATAAAGCTCCTTTGGTTCTATTGTGCTCCATCTCGGCGATGTCCGGCAATCGTGGAGTCCGTCGAGCATCGAGTATGTCTTTGGTAATCGATGCTGGGTTTGTCTCGGATGCTTTCCATCGGACATAATTTCCTTCCGGGTCCCAGTAACCTGTTCAAGAGTAGAACCTTAAACTTTGGTCCGTCTGGATTTCCTTCCCGATTAGCTCAAGACAAAGACTCAACTTGGTGTAATCCTTCATTGGTGACCCGATTTGTGGTCGCGCCCACGCAGCTCGTGCAGTACCTGTTGTATGTTTCGGAGATGTTCGTATTATGGCGGTGATAGGAGACATTGCATGAGTAGTGGCCGAGTATCGCAAGATTCACCCCATCTTCACCATGCAGCGAAGCTAACCTACCTTGGCCTAGAGAGTCGACCGGGCGGGGGCTGCTGGCTGACATCATTTGCTGCTCGGGTGTTTGGCAAAGCCCTAAGTCCATCTCCATCGTCTTCTGAGGTGACGGCTTCGAAGCTGGGGACGGACGGCATGGAGAGGTGGTTGGCGAGGCATTAGTAAACTGTATCGAGCCTACCTCTCCTGAAGCCTCAGCCTCCTCATAGCGATATTGGCAGCTTGACTACGAGACAGGTTCCCATGGATTCTGAGCTGTTGTGTAACAGAGACGACTGCTTGAATGGTTGACAACGTCATCGCACAGTGCCCAGGATTTCGGATCCAGCCCCGAAAATGACGTCGCAACCGGAGAAAAAGGAAGTTTTATAGTCAGCTGCGAAGAGAGGGAGGAGGACAGGTCGAGACCCCTCGACGAGCTTTCTTACCGTTTTCTTCTGCTGACTTCCTGATGGCACGGCATGATGAGGTGCTTTGCTGTCAACCTTGTTGCTCGAGCCGGATGCAGGAAAGTGGCAATCGCTGGGATTTCATTTGGTTGTTGTGCACCCCATCAGCTTCCCGATTCAAGCAATATCAATGTCGATCTTCCGTATAGCCTTGAGAGGGTGTCGCTGGCGGCAGACACCTTGCCCGCGCCCATCTCAGTGCTGTATGCTGTACACCATAACCGGCGACTGATTAGCCGTCGGGAAATGTCTCGACTGCGACCGCCAGTGCAGTTAGACAGCAGGAAAAACAGGGACAAGAGCTCAAATAACACGCTGAACATCCCTCTGGCTCAAGAAACAGCTACTCTCGGACCGGCGAATGGGCCCTTTAGCTTGATTGGGAGCCAAGGCTGGGACCGTCTCCAGTCTTTTAACCTCTAGTAAGCGATAAACGTGCCTGTACCGGTGTAAGCTGGTCAAGACAGGTGGCAGGTTGGCGGACGGAGTTGCAGTGGGACAGGGACCACTGTTGTCAACCAGGTGGCACAATATGGCACGTAAGAGCAAGTATAATAATAATAAGCCCAACTCTTTCAGTGTCTTCTCGACACCCGTTCCTGAAGGTCATATATAATAATGAATGTAGGCGTGTACTTGGCCAGCCAGAGCAGATATTTATCAAACTTCTTGTTCCAGCTTGTTCCACGGTGCACACTGATGGCTTTGGTCTGGTGCGTGCGAGGATAAAAGAGCGCTTGACTCGTGCGGAGGCGCCAGTCTCGGCAACGGGCTCGTAATGAGACTGCCCAGGTTCCCCACCAGATGGACCGTAGCACGGCGTCGGAGTGCACTGTCAAAACTCAAGTTGATCTGCAATAATAACGGGGTGGAAGATCTGAGGTTGGCTTATTCGCACAAACGGGACGCATATCGGAATAAAACTTTTTAAACACAACCCTTGGGACGAGCCGGTTGAACCGATTTTGAGTCAGGGCCCTGGCACAAGACGAGGATTAGGGTCGCTCTGCCCCTCGGCAGCCCTGGTCGAGGGGTCACTTGGTAGTGGTAGTGGCAGGCCTGCAAACTAATGTACAGTAAGCTTAAGGTATGATCAACACCAAAGCCATGCGAGTCTGTTCGGGGCGTTGACCTCCCCTCAGGCCAGCTCTTGGTGTTATCTGTAGCAATTCAGCCTCAATGAACTCAAGCATAAGGAGGTAGCAAGCACACAAGTAGCTCAAGGCTCAGCGTGATATACAAGTTTTGTAGTAAAAATGTGGTGATAATGAAAAATGACACACTGGCCGATAGTTGCAGGACTCGGAGCGGGCTGATGCTGATCTGCGGATGCAGCTGCATTACCACGACGTCGGCCGTACGTCACTTCCTTCTCTGGGAATCTTAAGGGACCCAAGGGACCGAACTAGGGGCTCAAGGGACCACTTGCTGCCACTTTCTGCCACCTACCGCCGCTGCCACCGCCCGCTACTGAGCCTTAACACTCCCTAACACTCCCTATAACCTCACCTGCGCTGTCCCCCTCCACCACGCCGCCGCCGCCGCCAGAATCTCTCCCCAGCTCAACACAAAAACCCTCCGCTTGGCGATATTGTTATCTTTTCTCTAGAACTGAAGCACGGTACAACACAGTTGCTTCCGCAGACTGATTGGTCTACCCAAGTTACAGACCGACCTTCTTCATACGACCGGTCGTATCCGTACATTCATCGCACTGCAACACTCTTGCTCGCGAGACCAGCATATCCTTGTCTCGAAGGTGGGTAGTCCCAATTTCATCTGTATTTAGCACCGGCCGCGAAAGAGGGACACTTCAGGTGTCAATTCCACTGGCATCTTCAGCTCTTTTTCACTGAGCTAACGCCATGATGACAGGCAGTAAATACACGGTCGACCTCCATATTGAACTCGCCCTCCTCTTCGTCCATACCTGACCTCCTTGGTCTGGCTACTTGAGGACGTTTAGGACTCTTTGTGCCCGAAGCCGTCCGGGCTTGTGACGCCGGCAGCCGTATCCTCCCAATTCCTTCCACCACCTTGCACAGAACCCGCCAAGATGTCTGAAGAAGTGAGTGAATCCCAAAGAGCGCAGTATTGTCTCTGCAGGTGTCATCATCAATGATGTGGCGGCGTCGAATTTATGGAGAATGGTGTGTATGCTGACTGTGCTTCACCGCAGGGAGATTTCGACTTCGGCGACAATGTCGACAGAGCCACATTTGAGCAGATTCTTGACATGGACGAAGAGGATGCGCGCGAATTCAGCAAGTCAATAGTATTTGGGTTTCTTGAACAGGCAGAACAGACGTTTGTCAAGATGGATGCCGCCATGTGAGTGGAACTTTCCCTTCCTTCCCGGGTCTCTTTGTCGTATGATCAACGATGGATGGCATGCAAAGACTGACACTCTTACTGCGCATAGGGAAGAGAAAAACCTCGAGGAGCTCTCAAGTCTGGGCCATTTCCTGAAAGGTTCCTCCGCCACGCTTGGCTTCACCAAGGTCAAGGACGAATGCGAAAAGATCCAACATTATGGGCACAAGAAGAACGAGACGGGCGAGTCCGACGAGCCAGACGAGGAGAAGTGTCTCCGACTGATCGGCGAGAGTATTAAGGAAGCTAAGCAGGCCTATGAAGTCGTTAGCAACCTTATGAACCGATTCTACGCCGAAACGTAGTCCCTTGGTTCGACTCGTTGAGCCACGAATGGACTGCTTTTACTCCCGATAATATGACACGACATGACTTGCGATAAAAGTACACTTGGTACCAAAGGGGGCGCTTATGATGTCTGGCGAGCGACATTGTCCGCAGTGGCTGGTCTCGATGCCTTTCCGACATATGTGCGATTGCATGAGTTAGCACGGTGGAAATGCCTCGATCAGAGGGTTGCTCTCCCTCTACACAATGTTAGACCGATGAGTTCAGATTTGATGTTTCTACAGACCAGACTTGGGTTGGACTGACAGTACAGATTCTCTTGCGTTGTCGCTGAAAGTCCCGAAATGCAATTAATACCTTATACTTGCACCCTGACTTGTCCATCCATTCTGTGGGCGAGTGTTGAGGCTACTGTTTCATACCATTCCGTACTCTGTTTGGTTTCGCAGATGTCTATTTCTCAGCTGCTTGTTCTTCTTTTGGTCTGATGATTATCAATCCAGTTTGGAACCGTGTGATTAACGTTTTGGTCCAATGTTAACCTATTCATACAGGACCTTGTCCCTACTTAGCTCGATCTTCTCCTAGCCACACTGTTGATCTGTGGGAAGGGTATCCAATTCCATTACACCAATAATCTCACAAATTTGGGTAGGTACTTTAGCCTACCAACTCGAAGGCCGACTCCTTCGGAAGCGCCTTCGACCTCAACCAGAAGTTCGGACCTGGCCCGTCTATTGTTCCAGTCAACTGACCAAATCATCCTGTCCACTCCGAACCCCCTGCCACACTGTTCTGCGGCATTCGAGCTCACACCGCTTCCCCCTTGAATGGTTGACCCCTCCCCACCACAGAGCGTTTCATGCTTTCTTGTCCCTCTTGTCAGCAGCAGACTTGTCCTTGTTATCGTTATGAAGTTGCGGAGGAGGACGGCGGATGTTCTGGGAGCGCGTGGCCATATGTGCTCGCGGCTGTCTTGGCACATTGTCAAAGTTGAATCGACCTGCTGCTCGTGCTGCAGCCGGGCTCATATTCATGCTTGCAGCAGTGATAACTGGCGCCCTGTAGGGAGAAATAAATCCACCGAATGAAACTGGTTGAAGTTGTGGCAATGCTGCTCCACGTGGTGATGCCGCCGCCGACAAAATGCTATTCATGCTGCGTCCACGACGATGACGAGCTCTGCCGCTGCCTGGAGTTTGAACGGGACTCACGAAGGGTTGAGACAGACGATGACCATGACCATGATTGTGGCCGAGGCCGACGCCGACGCCGTGACGGCCGGGACTGAGATTCAGAAAGGCAAGATTTGGTGGTGGATATGGCTGGGGGTGAGGTGGAAAGTACCCATGCAAGTTTGTATTGGGGCTGCCGACGATGAATCCGTGTCCTGCGCCTATGCCTGCACCTGCACCTGCGCCGATCAAGTTGCCGAATCCGAATCCGGGGATTGGAGCAGTAAAAGCGCCCTGTTGGGGAACAAATCCATAGCCAGGAATGGGAACAGGAACAGGAACAGGAACGTGGGCTTGAGGAGATGGAACGTTGTATGCAGGCAACGACGGCAGTGGCATAGGTCTGTAGGCATATGGCGATCCCATGTTTGTCATGCGTGCTGGAGTGGCATATCCGACGACGGCAGGGCTATGATGAAGGGTTGGTCCACTGACACCTTGTGCTGGACGAGGCGGTGTCGCTGCGCAGCTTGGACTTCCTTGTTCTGCAGCAGCATTGTTGGCAGCGTCGACCAGTTCTAGACGATGGAGAGGATTGTTCCACGGACTACCCTGCACTGGCAAACCGTGTTGGTCTGCTGCAGGTGGTGTTCTCGTGGGTGATCGAGGTGCTGCTTCAAGTTGTTGTTGTGGATGTTCTTGTTCTTGTTCTTCCTCCTCCGCGGTCGCATCGCCTGTGTCCTCAACTGTGTTTGAAGGTTCACCAAAGCCGGCGCGATATTCGACTGGAATCGGATCAAAGTCTTCATCCTCCATCATCAGAGCGCGCACTTGTTCCTCAGTCCACTCCTCGCGAAGGATGATAGCTGTAGGGTCTTGCTCTGGAGTCATGGTAGGTGCACCGATCTCAATTTGGTTCTGGACTGGTGAGTGGATCTGAATCTCTCTTTGTTGATGGCCCGCGTCTGCGTCTGTGTCTGTTGCTGCCGCTGCTGGTGTTGATGCCAACATTGATGTTGATGCTGTAGTAGGAGCAAGATATTGTTGCCAAGGGGACAACCGACGCGCTGCTGGTGTGCAAGGTGGTGAGTTCAAAAGAGCAGCAGAATTCGCAGCCAAAAGTTGTTTTGGAGGAGAAGACAGATCGGAAGGAAAAGACACTATTGTGCTTTTGTGTTGACGCGGTCGCGGGAGCAGTGTATTTTCCTGTTTATTAGCAGCGTCTACTACACGCGGCACTAACAGTGAGGGTGAATACTTCTTCATGTGGTTGTCACTGTCGCGCTTCCATTGTTTATGTTGATGCTGTGGTGATGGTGATGGTGGTCTACCATGGCCAGCGGTGGTTGGCATCTCTTCTGCCGCTGTGTCTCCCTCCCCTTTTATCTCTGCTTCTATCTCTGTCTCTGAGAGACCTCTAGAGGAGAATGAGAAAGAGCTGCTAGCCCTGCTCCTATCTCTTAGGAGGCCTCCAAAGGTATCGAAGGAAGAGCTGCTGCTGCTTCTGCTGGCTCTGGGGAGGCCTCCATAGGAGTTGGAGGAAGTGCTGCTGGTCCTGCTGCTATCTCTTGGGAGGCCTTTAGAGGAGAACGAGGAAGAGCTGTCAGTACTGCTGCTATCTTTTGGGAGGCCTCTAGAAGAGTCGGAGGAAGAGCTGCTGCTACTGCTGCTATCTCTTGGAGGCCTCCAGAGGAGTCGGAGGGAGTGCTGCTGCTGCTGTATCGGGCCCAGGCGGGAGTCCCCTATCGATGGCGGCATCAGATATCCACTGCCAATGCCCGGGGCGTCTTACATTGTCAAGATCGGCCAGGGGAAACGAACATTCGCTGCTCGAGAGACTACTTCTATCTGCATCGTACTCCGAATTTGCAACTGCAGGAGCAATTGACGGGTCTGATCCCAAAGCATGCGATATATGAACCGCTTGTCCGGCGGGCATCTGCATTTCCAAGTCCATACTCTTCTCCATTAAGCCAGCAGCGCTCGAATTTTCTTATGCAAAAGATGCCCAACATCAGCAGGTTGTGACGCTCTCTCGGTTGGCGAGGGGTTGGGAGTACGGTATTCAGTCTGGTTGGAGTCGCTGCTGGTGATATACGGTTCTGGCTCTGTCTCTTCTGCTGCGGCCGTCATGGCCACTGCCAACAATCGCAATGCTGGTTCCCTGTTCCAATCCGCTTCCAGTTCGATGGCGTTGTCCGAGCTCCTCCTTTGTCTTTCCTGATCTTCTTCCGCCCTGGCTGTGCCGGCATGCTGTTGATGATCTCTCTCTTCTTGCTCGGTCGCACCACCCACGTGCTGTGCTGTGGCATCGTGCCTTGCAACTGGCATATATGAGGAAATAGTCTGCCGAACTCTGTACAGCCCTGGTACGGGTCTATATCTACCGGGGGCTTGTGAACGTGCCGGAGGCATACTTACTGTCGAGTTTGGTTTCAGGCATGTGCACTGTGTTTGGAAGACGGGAGAAATATGTCAGAAAAGCAGCAGCGGGCTAGAAGAGCAAGAACACAAGAGGCAGGTGAGTGTGTTTCAGGGAATGGAACTCTTGGATGGTTAGATGCTTTGCCCCAACTCCTTGAGCAGAGAAGTCGCAAACGCGGAAGGCCTTGTTGGGGGCCCAAGGAAGAAGACAGGAGAATAAGAAACAATTGCGAGACGACAGATACAGACCTAGAGGCGTGCGGGCTGGAGAGATGAGCAGCTCACGACGTGCTAAGAAAGGGGGTGCTGACGAACGCCGATGCAGGGCAGCGTTCAAAGAAGATAACTTAACTATCCCTACCACCAAGAGAGGCTCGCTCTCATCGCAACAATAATGTCTGTGAAGGGGTTGGTTGCATGACGGACATGCTTATTAGCGTCGTCGTTGTTGTTGTCATTGTTGTTGGCGCAAGAGCAAGGCTGAGCAGCCCCTTTTTCTCCTGTGCGGGCAAACAAAACCAACCAATACAGCAAACTTGTGGTACCAGTGCTGTGAGCAATGACCTGACCCTGACCGGCCGAGCCTGAATGGTGAACACAAAGCAGATTTCAGGCCAAGGACACCAGCCATCAAGCATCACAACACCCGCTGCCAGTGAGAGTGGATAGCGAGTGCTCAGATCTGCAACGGCAATGGCAATCATTCCTTCTTATAACTCTTTGCACGGGATATTCAAAATCAACGTTGATAAATGCAACATAAGGGAAGAAAAAAAGGTTTCGTGGCTTGATAGTAACCATAGTGATGTCCTAGGTCCGCAAGGCTGGAGCTACAGGTACCTAGGTACTATGATTGCCACCTATCATCATCACCTTTATCCTTGTCGTATGAGGAGGCACAGTAGCAGTTCCTTTTTGAACTCCTGGTGATGCAGTAAGGCGAACAAAAGACACATTGTGCTGCACAGCGTGCATGATCAAGGAGAATGAAAGGATTCAGAATAAACTCAGTGGTCCTGGAATCAGGAACATGACTACAGGTAAGCAAACCAGGGGCATCAGCTGAAGCTTCAGGGAAAACAGATAGAAATAATGAGGCAGCTACAAGGCAAGATGTTCAACAATGCTATACCTGCGAGCATAATAATGGGTGGGTTTGATCCTTATTTTTATTCGCACGAAAACATACCTTACGTTCAAGTTGCTCGATCTCGATCTGAATGTACTCGCTCCCCCCGACAAGGCAGGTAAAAGCAGAATAACAAAGAAATAATCAATAGTCTTAGCGTACCCCTTTCCATACCTGAGAGCCATAGGGACACATTATTGTACTACGGGCCCAGAATAGATCCGCCAGATCTACACTATCTACAGTAGTTCAACCTGCACAGTGATGCGATCTCAAGTACCTGGCAAAGTACAATGTATGTCCTTCGGGTGCGTACCGACGTTGAGCGGGAACATGAACCTAGAAGCCTACAAGAAGAACAAAAATTACTGGAGACAAGATGCGCAAGTTTCAAGTCTTCGCTCATCACTCCGCCGACGAGTCTTTCTCCATACCTGCAACTACAAGCCTCCTCGTAGAAGACGAGTACAAATGAAATACTGTCAGCGAAAGGAGTTGTCCCCCACCATGCCATCGTTGCTCTAAACGTACCTACCTATGCAGGTACTTGGAAGAACTTGAACTCGAAGCGGGGGTACTTTTTCCATCTTGAAACGTTGACAGGTTTCTGGAGCCACTGCATATCATTCATTTGATGATCAGATAAATCATGATCGATTGAATCGCACCTCGAGAACGAAGATGAGGGGCAAAAAGGAAAGACAAGCAAATACCAGGTACCGCTGTCTGTATGTACGTACAACGTAAGTAGAGACTAGTAGGGCGAGGAGGGGACCTTTTTATCCTCTTTACCCTGATTCAAGTTTTGCTTCGATGGCGATGGGCGATGGCGATGTCTCGGATATAGTATTTCCATGTACCTATACTGCTACAGACAGTACTGCACCTACGGCATACCATCTTGGGTTTGGTTTGGGCCCTCAGCTTTTTCACTTCGCTTGTACGGCAGAACAGACCGGCTCGGCTTGCAGTGGAACAGCTGTAGGTAGTTACCCTTACTAATAGTAGAAAGTGTGCAGTGGCTTGTCGGCTTGTTCGGCAGGCTTGCCGCTTTCTCGCTTGCGGCATGCCACTGCAGTGCAGGGCCACAGCTTGCAAGGATCAAGTTGCTTGCATTATGCAAGTCATCACTCCTGATCGTCGGCCTCCAGCAGCTCCACTTTACTACTACTACTACTACTACTACTACTACTACT